ATTAAATTATGGACCCGTGGTGTACCACGGGGTAAATCCTAGTATATATTTATAATAAACTAATGTCAAAATTATTCAGTTCTTTGTATATTTGGGCATATTTGGATATTCAAATTTTGAGTTTTGAAAATTTTGGATATCTAGAAATACTCGAACGGTTCTACGTCTCTAAACCCAAAATACCCGAACCGAACCCAAACGCTTTCAAGGAATGGGGGACTTCGATTCTTATTCTTAGGTCGGCTCGGTTATCAGTTAACCAAAAAAATTAGAAATATGCAGAACGGAAATTAAATTGGATACGTTATGGTTCGTTAATGTATAACAATCATATGAATGTTCACTGATAATCATGGGTCTGTTACTTTTTTCCATTCTTAAATTTGAGTTTAAAGGACAACAAACAGACAAAATTCAGTGAAATCAATGGAAATTCTAATATGGGGTTTAATGAAAAAGATAAACATTTAAAATCTCGGCAGACTCTGATTTGCAAAAACCAAAAGTTGAATTTTTTCAGGAGTTGGATCTCAGACAAATTCGGCAGTCTTGGACTTGAATTCTTCCAGCAAATCTTCAATGCTCTTCACCGAGTGGGCTGCACTGTCTCTCAGACGAACACTCACCTGAAAATGTGAAGGTGGTCTTTAAATGTGTTCACACAAAACGAAACTAATTGCACTAGAGAGATTCTGAATAAGGATGGCTAACCTGTCCAGTAGCTGCTTCAGTTTCACCCACGACAAGGATGTAGTTGTACTGTGCAAGCTGAGCTTCTCGCACCTACAAACACAGCCACAAATCATCATCACTCAAGTCAATCTTACGAATCACCAGCCAACTACAGGACATAACTTAGAGCATGATCGATTTTTTAACCTTTTTGTCGATCTTTCTGTCTGTTAAGTCGGCATCAACATAGAACCCAGCATCATGAATTTGCTTTTGCACCTGTTTGAATAAATGTGCGAAAATAAACACTCGAGATTAGTTGCTGCAAAGAAGTCAATATGAACCACAGGCACTCAACTCAATAAAAGAGTACAGCGAAAATCACAAACTTAACCTTTTCTGCATATTTCTGAGATTTCTCTGATATAGGGCAAACTATGGCTTGGCGTGGACTAATCCAGAAGGGCCATTTTCCTTTGTAATGCTCCAACAATATGGCAAACATACGTTCCACAGATCCCAACACGGCTCTATGTATCATTACAGGTCTACCCCTCTTCGCTTCGTCCTCAGCTGCGTATTCCAGTTTGAAGCGTTCCGGAAGTTGAAAATCAAGCTGATAGAAGCGACCAGAAATATATAATCAACTCCTGCACTGTGATTACAGCAAGAGAAACGCATAGAACAGAGAAAAAAAAAAAAAAACCAAAAAGACTTTTAGAGCATAACCTGTAAAGTAGCACACTGGAATTTTCTATTCATTGCATCAGAAACTGTGATGTCTATCTTTGGGCCATAAAATGCCCCATCTCCTTCGTTCAACTGCCAAAACAGCACATATTAGAATGAATGCAGAATTTGTGAGCAGACTTGAGTATTCAACAAGTGCCAATACCACTAATGGCTTTCCAAAAGCTTCTATAGCTTCTTTGAGATCCTCTTCAGCTTTATCCCATGTTTCCAAAGTTCCAAGGTACTTCTCTGGCCTCTGAAAATTAAATTAACCATGCAAATAAAGAGTAATTAGAAACATGTCACCCAAAGACTATGGGATTTTGTAGATTCACTGGTGAAGAAATCATCAAATATGGTACCGTGGAAAGTTTTAGCTCATAGGTGAACCCAAAAATTTTGTACACATAGTCAATAAACTCCAAAACACCCTTCACTTCTTCCTTAACCTGCAAATATATAAGATTACTTCTAACAACAAAATATGGGAGAAAAGGAGCTTCGACATTACCAGAGAAGAAACTTATATCACAAACCTGTTCCGTTGTACAGAATATGTGTGCGTCATCCTGAAAAAAGTATACAAACATTATGTTGAGTAACAGATATGTACCGTGGAAGGGAAAAATGGTAATAAAGTAAAGTAAACAAGGATACAAAATATACCTGCTGGAACCGTCGGACACGTGTCAACCCACTAAGTGCTCCACTTGCCTCATTGCGGTGTAACACTCCAAAGTCGGCCAGTCTGATAGGTAACTCTACATATCAGATCATATATGCAGTACCAAGATGGTGTCAGTCAAGATAAATGATAGACAACTTCTTTAGTAAGATTTCTATAGGGAAAACATAAGCCATATTGTCCTTGATGATAGGTTACAAAAAAAAAATTACACTTTGGAGAAAGTCTCTTGTCATTGAAAAAATCAACACAAGGTAATCCACGAGAGTTTTGACAGTCTGTCATGGAGTTAACTTTGATTTCTACAACTAATATCAGTAATAGAACTGTTTTCGGTGATATCGAACAGCACAAAAGGAATGGAGTCACACCTCTATATGAACGAACCCGATGTTGGAATATCAAGCAGTGACCAGGACAATTCATAGGTTTGAGCCCAAACTCTTGCTTCTCAATCTACATAAGGAACATTCAGACAAGTCATTCATGCGTAGCATATAACTTAGATAGCTGCTTGTTGAATTAACAGAGTCAAGTAGACTATTAAGCTTTCATTAACTCTTACATCAAACGTGAACATATTATCCTTGTAATTGTCGGCGTGTCCGGATGTTTCCCACAGACTCATGTTGTACATATTTGGTGAAATGACCTGCCAGTGCAAGGTTATTAGGCGATCCCCACTCATCAAGTATATTAAATATGTGATGACTGATGAGAGATAAAATAAAAACCTCTGTGTAACCCCTTTGCCAGTATTGCTTTTTAATGAAGTCCATCAGCTTGTTATATACACGAGTGCCGAGTGGAAGGAAGAAATAACTTCCAGGGCTGGAGCTCAAAGATGGCAGATATTAGTACAGTGAAACACAAAGAGGAAAGCACAGTAAATTCGCAATGAAGTACCTGAGATGATGACTAAAGAAGAGTTCCTGCTTTTGGCCCAATAGTCTATGGTCATACTTTTTGGCTTCTTCCAGAAATTGAAGATATTTCTGTACGGACCAATTGGAAGATACAAATATATATTATGCATACTTATGACACAGCATAGCAGCCATAGTACTTAAGAAATATGAGTACCTTCAGCTGCTTCTGATCAGGATAAGATATCCCATAAACTCTCTGCAAGCTCTCACGGTCTTTGCTACCCCTCCAGTAAGCTGATGAGGCCTGAAAAAAAGAAAATGGTCAGCATAAGAACAAAACTAGAATCTGTTGAGATGTAGCTCCTAGAGATAAAAATAGCAAATCACCCTCAAACACTTGAACGCTTTCACAAAGGAAGTGTTTGGTATGTGCGGTCCACGACACAAATCCACCAATGGACCACATCTGTAGACAGTAATGGTCTTGTCCGCAGGCAAATCATTGATGATTTCAACCTAGATGATTAAGAGCAGAATTATGAGTCCAAACAAACAGGTATCAGAAATGAATGTACGGTTACAGGAGCAAAACAAAATTCAGTGATAATCATACACAGCTTAACCCACCTTAAAATTATTCTCAGAAAACATCTCGAGTGCTTGATCCTTAGTCACTTCAATCCTTTCAAATGGTTGTGCTTCCTGAAAATAGAAGCGATCAACCCAATAAAAAAATATGACTAAAAGTTGGGTGACATATATCATTACATTTTCATTACAATACCTTAGCAGCTTTTGCAGCACCTGCTTCGATGCTAGGAAAGTGATTGTCGCTCAGGCCCAAGTCACCATAAAATCCATCATAGTAGAAACCCTGCAATAACAAATCCATTACTAACATCAGCGATAGCCACATTTTCTCAACTTCATTGAAACACCAACAACAAGACCAATGGTTTCCACTTTCCTCCTTTTTTTCTATATTAGAGCCCAAAAAAACTGAATCTTACAAACGATGGAACATGTCATACAAACAAGTAACAATTAGCACAATGTAAGCTGTTTTTTTACCTCTCCTCTCGTTGTACATGGTCCTATGCATAGCTGACACCCATACTCCTGCTCGAGAGCCTGCACCCAAGATCACACCCAAATCTATCATAAACGAATCGTTCACAAAGAGAAAAACTTTGGAAAATCCGATAAGATTTAAACTCTTATACCTGACCAAGAATGTGTGCACTAGAATGCCAGAGAGTGTCGCGACCTTTATCGCTATCAAATTTGAAAAGCTCAAGCTTACAATCACCTTCCAATGGCCTACTCATATCCCAAAGAACATCATTGACCGCTGAAATCAGTGCAGAATTAGCCAAACCCTTTGAAATCTGAGCAGCGATATCCATTGGAGTTGTCTCCCACTTCTTCCCTTCTTTCACATTCCCATCTGGCAAAGTAATCCTAGACACACGACACCAGAAATCAAAATCAATCTTCTAGAAACAAATTGAAACTCTAGATTACCAAATCACACTGATAAATATAATCATCGCCATCGTATTTACTTGATCGGATCGTGCGGCATAGACTTAAGATTCTCGAGCTGATTAGCTTGGATCTGCTCGAAGAGCCTGATACGTTTGGGGATGACGGCGGATAGATACGCCTCATCCTTTGGATGATTAGCTGCCATTGATGGAACAGTACAAAACGAAGACGCAGAAGAGAAGAGAGCTGGTAGAGGAGACGAAGTAGAAGAAGAGGTGTAACGACGAATAGAGCGAGCCGTAAGACGAAGGAGCATCAAAAGCCGTTGCAAAGGTTTATGTTATCTTTTGTGACCTCTAGGGTTTTTTTTTTCCATCAGGGGGTGGTGACAAAATAAAATCGAACCAAACCGACTTAAAATTTTGTGATTTCGGTTTTCCGGTTTACGAATTCGATTGTGAAATTATCGCGTTAATTCTTGGTTTAGGTTTTCAGAAGTGAGTGTCTCCATTACTACAACAAAAGATTAGGGTAATAGAAAATACACATAGAACTGAGTCTTAATGCGATTAAGCATCACATGTTTTTTATATAACAATTATTTTTACAAAAGGAGCAACACAACTTCTCTAATCCATTGATCATATAGAATTGCGACAAAACTAAAGAGCATGCCATGGCTGACTTGAAGATCTTACTTACATTCATAATTATAGACTCATCTTCTACTTTCATATTTCTAAAGTTGGTTTCTTCAACCAATAAACCGAGGTTTTGTCTACGCCCCGCTTCGGGTAGCAAACTGAGGAACACGGCCAAGTGGTAAAAATATATCCTTCATCATCTCATACTCGTCGTTTCCAATTCCACTTCCTTCTAGAATCTGATGTTTTACACCAACATAATCAAAAGGTTAAATTTACTTCGATTTCCACCTTTTATTATGTTCAAGTTGGCGATACAAGTAGCTTATAGAAGCTCTTAAAGCGTCGATGTATCAGTTGGCTGTAACTAACCTTGTTTATGTTGGATAGATAAGGTGCAATCAGAGGGATGCGTGATACAGACAACGCGTCCAAGAAAAGAAGAACTATCACTAGCCATTCTTTCATCTTTAATGACGGAACTGCACCTGTCAACGACATTGTCTCCAACAAGCTTCCCTGCTCAACAACAAAGCACAACCAATATCACTGAGAACTGTATAAATAAACTTCCCAGCATAAAGAGTTTATATTTTCAAATATGATCCAATACTTATATACTAAGGTTTTGTGTTAGAAGTAATTGCTTCATTTTGCAAAGATAGATGGGAAGAAATCACTAATTTCACTAGGATGGGCTATTTGGTTTATTAGTAGACTGATAACAGAAGGAAAAATTTGGAAAAGTACCAGTCCTTTTTCTAATTCGGATATCGCTATTGGCAGCCTGAGATAAGTGGCGACTCTAGGTAAAGCTCTGGCAAGGCACCCAGCCATTGTCTCCTTTATCTCTGAGGAAAGCCCGTCTCCCAAGATAATCTTCCGGGGGTACTCCTTCCCGTTAACTGATAAGAACTCCTCATGAGCAGATTCTTCCTTCCCATAAATGTATGCCAGAGAGGACGATGATACCCAGCCAAACAGTGAATCCCACATCACAGCAAAACTTGATAACTGAGGAAGGAGGAGGACAAGTATGTTTAGTTCAAGAGAGTCCTACTGGGCGAGTAAATTTAAATGCTTAAGAAACTTACTGTGAGATTGAAGCCCTCTGGAGCTCCATCAAACCACGATTGATCACGGTCAAACAAATCAGAATCTGGAATCCCGGGCTTAGTTGGCCACTTCAGAAGAGTTGGTTCCTCTTCAATATGTTCCTCAGTAACCTCTTCATCAAGTTGATGTGTACTTGGCAACAAAACGATTCCAGCTTTAGCAGCTATATCAAACATGTCAAAGTGCACAATTTAGTAACTCATGCAAGTCCAGAACGTATAGACCTCCTAACATAATTAACACCTCCAATGGACTTACTGGCATCACTTGCATCTGTATCTCCCAAAGAAACAGCTTCGGCAGCCTGGCTTAACGCTGAGGCACAGGCTTCTGCTAATGCAAGGCGTGATAAACTATTGCCATCTTTTGTGTCATTAGAAGACAGGCTTGGACCTACTGTGAAATCATTGTTTCTAACCTCACAAAGATCACCACAGCCATCATTCTGGTCGGCCCAAGTAACTGAACGACTAAGCTTCTTAGAGCCAGAAATTTTAAGGCATGACTTAGTAACGGTTTCACTTGATGAACACACATCCTGAACTTTGTGTCTTTCATAAGATTCAGCTGCAAGGATTTCTTCACCATCTTCATAAGAATTAGCATGATATTCAACAGAAATTTTTTTTTTTCCAGATTTTTCGGCTCTTGTCCTTGAGCCCTTCGCATTAGAACCTGAAGAGGATCCTGATAGATTATTTTTACCGTCCAGAGTCTGAAGACCTCCTTTTAGATTGTAACTAAGAGAATCTTCCATGGAACATTGTGGTTGCTTAGACACACTATATTCGACACTGTATCCATCTTTTCCAGTACCAGAGCTCACACAACCCATCTCATCAAACCCAAAGCTCGCAAGATCGATCCCATCAGTGCCAAACGTCTTTTTTTCCTTTTCTTTTTCACGACGAAACCCTGCAAATGCATAGTACTTTTCAAGATCATCCAAATAAACAGAGAGCATGGACAACAGTATTTAATGCCACACGCATCAGCAGAAGTAGGTCCATAGCTATCACATGATCTCAGGCTCCCAGAAGAATTTAAAAAATCTTTCATGATAGTATGATACCAACCAAATACCTTTAAGCAAGACTAGGTAATATATATGGCTCCAACATCTCCTAAGTGCTTACTTGATTTTTTTTTTGTGGCAGGAACTACAGTTTGTTCTCTCAGAACTGTTTTCCCTTTGCCATCATCAGATACCCCAACAGGAGAAGCTTGTTTGGTTTGCAGTGGAAGCTTTGAAACACTATATTCATCAGGCATAATTACTGTGCTAGTGAAATCCATCTCGCTAAATGGCGGGTCCTTGTGTTTCTCTTGATTACTTTGAGTAGCCTTAAAATCTGCCAAAACCAAATTTAAATTATACATTAATCAATCATTTGGTAACTGAAGAATTTGCTCAATCCATAGTTCATCATCGAATTTACCACCGTCTTTGCAATTTCTTGATTTGCAATCACTTTGATCCAAGGGAACATAACCTTCAACAGCATTAGAAGGACCCATCCACTGCTCTAAAGACGATTCTCCACCTCTCACTTCAAAATTCTCCCGAATTATAAGCTTAGACAAATCTAAATCCTTATTGACATCCAAAGAACCTTTCACTTCCGAATCACCAAACAACTCCAAAATCTCATTCAACTTCACAGAATCAAACTCCGAGGTACGAGCCTCTTGCAAAGTCCCCAAAAACGTTTTGCTATCAATTAAACAACCCGCCGAACAAAACTTTCTCGTCTCCTGTAAATCGTAAACCTTATGCTCCTTCAAGGAAATCCGATACTTTCCTCTTCTAGAAACATCGGAAGGGAGAAATCTCTGGCAAAGAGGATAACCACAGAGCTTAGCGATCGTTCGTTCAGTGACGACATCTTCGTAGTCTAATCGAGATATCAATTTCCCCGCAGCGAAGAGCTGGTTCTGATCAGTGATACCTTCAAGCATAGCGAGCTGAAGCTTGTGAACCGCATCGTTAATGGCGATTACTTGATTATCTATTGGATTTGCCTCCCGTTTCTTTCCTTCTTTCACATTCCCATCTGGCGATGTAGTCCTGAACACACACACACAACACCAGAAAATCAAAATCAATCTTCAAAGAAACAAACTAAAACCTTAGAGATACAAATCGCAGTGATACATATGAACTGTTTCTTTACTTGGTCGCAGCGTGTGATGGAGACTCGACTTGATTGGCTTGGATCCGCTTAATAGGTTTGGGGATGACTGCGGAAACATACGCTTCATCCTTCCGATGATTAGCTGCCATTGATGGAACAGTGCAAAACGAAAACGCAGAAGAAGATGATTAGAGAGCCGGTCGAGACGAAGAAGAGGAAGAAGACGAAGTTGTGTAACAAGTGAATATAGCGAGCCCGCAAGGCCAAGGGAAACGTCGTTGGCAAAGGTTTATGTGTGACTCTAGGTTTTTTTCTCGCTCAGGGGCGGTGAGAAAACAAAATCGAACCAAACCGACCAAAGATTGGGTGATTCCGGTTTTTGAAATTGATTGTGAAATTATCCCGTTAATTCTCGGTTTAGAATTATTATTATGGTGCTACCGGTTTAGTCTTCACAACCACTCAATCAGGTTGCACAATGAGTTTTAAATTTATACACCAAAGTTAGAGAACTCATGGTTTTTTTTTTCTTTATACTTTAAATAAAGAATTTATACACTGAACGTGAAACTACTATACAAAACATAAAAAACTCCAAATCAATGTGAGAGAGGGTCGAAGGAGAAGAGTCGTCTTTGTTCATCAGTGGGATTTCTCAGCAATCTGCAGAATATCAAAGAGGCCGCAACAACTGATAAAAGAGATAGAACCGCAAGGAACCCGAAATGGGAAGCGTCATTCGCCGCTATGGCTACTCCGAGCATCAGCGATTCAGCTAGACTTGCCACTGAGATCTCTGTTGCGCCGATGAGATTAGCCTTGGATGATGGAATTCCGGTTTGGAGAATCTGAGCTCCCACGAGGCCGTAAGACATGTGTCCTAGCCTCGATAATACCTGCATTTTGTTTTCCCTTCCGTCAACCCAATACTGTAATCTTACTGGTTAAAAAGAGAGAGAGAGAGAGATCAGAAGGAACTTACAATCATGGACAAGAAGAAGAAGAGTGGGCTTTTATGGGAGAGAGAGGAGCTACAATACACGGTAACAGCAACAGCAAGGAGTGAAGCTTGGAAAAACAATCCTACTGCACCCGCCTGTATCGTTTGAAAAAGGCAAACGCAATAACATTAATCAGCTTGAATGCAACACATGCTCAAGAGACTAAATGACGGAAACAAAGTTCAACCTTTAAAATGCCAAATCGTTTGACCAAGTTTGCTGATAAGAAGGTTGCGGCCACGCCCATAACAGCACATAATCCACTGAAACCCCCAATAACTGATGGATTCACAGCTGTTGAAAAGACAGTTTGGAGATTAACTAGGGTGAGTAATACAGAGAACCTCTCACTAGATTAATCATGGTTTTAATTCAGGAATTAAAGTAAAGTAGTGGACCGAGTTGATGTAGCATACATCGTTGTGTTAGGAATGCAGTCATCAAGCTGCCTGGGGTGAGGATAATGTTGAAGTAGAGAAGCACATATGCGAGGCTAGCTGGAAGAACTGGCTGTTGGATATATTCTTTCCATCCGAGCTTGATAGTTTCCACAATATCAGCTGATGAACAAAGCAAATGGCATTTGTGATGTCTACATGCTTGAGTCATATAATATGCTAATCCAAGGACTTTCAAGTAAAAGGTCTTCTTACAAATACTGTTGGTAGCAGAACGAGGTCCTTCGAAAGCAGAGCTGCCCTGGGAGCATTTAGGACGGTCCAGAACACCAGAGGAGAACTTGTTGGTCAGCCATATAAGAGCTGTCTGGAGAAAACAGATTTTGTCTATTAGACGGAAAGAAGTCTCAGTAAAATTGGTAACTCTCAAATGAAATTGTGTCTAGGATCTCAAGCACAACAGCATCACCTTGCAATGTTGATGACAAGACATTTATCTAATTAAAAAACCTGATAATACCAGATCTAGGCTTAAAGCTCAAATTCAGGGAACCCTCGGATAATTATCCAAAACTTAAACAAAAAGACCGCCTTTTATAATGAAGAAAAAAAAAAGATCCACACTTGACCCATGAGAAACAGGAATTATTCCATTCTACATAGTTCAGCTTCATACAATACAGCATCTTTGTGTTTCCTTTATTTAGCTTCAAAGACTGACTTTTTAATCTTGGACGAAAGGAGAGTAATCAAAAGTTTATAGGGCATTGCTACTTACCATGGTTGGTAAAGAACCCACCATTAGCGTGGCAGCAAACTTTAAGCAGGTCACAGGGTCATATTTGGATAGGAGGATGCCAAATAACATCGTCCCAGCAATCTGTTTAACGATAAAATTTTATCATTTGATGAATACTAGAATTAAAAAGCAGAAAGCACATAAAATCTATAATGAGAATTACTAGACCTCGCAAAGCAGATCAATCCTGTGGAGAACAGCATTTGCTTGTGCGAGAGCGATTGGTCTGTTTATCCCCGCCAACTACCAAATGATAAGTTAATTACTTCAGTCTGTGTTTCCACTGATGAAAACAGGTATTCTATAGAATCATAAAGAAAGCATACCAATACAACCCAATCACGTTCTATGGCGACTCCAGATGCTATTCCACATAGGCTGTCAATGGCCCCTGCGAATACCAATGCAAAGAACCAAGGCTGCAGAAGAATTGATGATGCCGATGGGAAAGGAACAGTGTATGCATGAATTATCATTCCTGCAGATAGCACTTGAGCGGCTGCCTGAACATGTAGATATAAAGAATGTTTATGACACTTAATTGCAATGTCTGATGACAGATGTTGAAGAACAGTCAAAACAAAGTCATTTGTGATGTTTTATACTGAAAATTCATATACTTTTTATAAAGATTACCTGAACGACATTCAACGAGATATATGTAGGAACTCTTGGACTATAATCCATAAACTTTCCAACCACTGGACCCCCAGCAATTATCATCAATTTAGTGACAAAGCCCATGACTGCAACAGGTAATAAGCTCGGATGTAGCATTGCAATAGCGGACGGCCAAGCAAAATTCCAAAGTTGCTCAACCAAATTTCCGACCAAACAACTTGCATATAACACTGATACAATCAAGTAAATGCCATCAGGTTGACAAATGCCATCAATTAATTTAATCTCATGTGCTAGGCTAGCAAGTTCAATTCAGAAAACTAGTGAGAGCTCTAACCATATAATCCTTCAGGGTGAGCTGGAGTGGCTGCAATTACAGTCTGCTCCTCCTCAGACAAGACCTAAAACCAAAGATTGATAAGCTCAAGCAACAGTTTAAAAACTCTTGATTCTTGAGCAAAAAGGGGGTATGAACATACAGGCAATGCTGTCAAAACGGTATCAACGTAAGTACACTCAGTGAGTAAGCTGAGAGATTCAGTAACCACGATACTGGTATCAAGATGAACAATGGGAATTGAATGATCCTCAATAGGAGTAGTAGGCAAATCCTCGTGAATATCATCATCAGTAGTAGTAGTAACAAAATCATGACATACATCAGTGTTTATAATCGAACACCTTGTACTAAAGCCACTGTTCAACCTATCAAAATGTAAAAAGCAAATTTCACAATTAGCCAAAGATCAATCACAAAACTGTAACCAACAATGAAGTCCAGAGACCAAATTTGAACCTGCGAGAACAGGAAGGTGATGAGCTGAGACTTAACCATCTACAAGAAGGGAAACGATGGCGAACTCTAGAAAAAGCCACCGGAGATAAGAAACGGCTCCTGTCGACCGGAAAACGAAAGAGGAAATCTAACGACGGCGAGTGCCTGACCAGAGCCATTGAAACAACCATTACAGAATCTGATTCCTCTCCTCTTCTTCAAATTCGTACTATTTGTATTCGTCTTCTCCAAAACTCATGCGAATGAATCTTCTCTCTAGGGTTTATTTTTTCCCCTCTTCCCTATGGCTTAATCGCCACTTTTGAAATTTTCTTCTGCAACCAGAGGGGAAAAAATAATCCAGAGAACCTTATCTATGGCGGTTCGTCGCGAAGCACGCCGTGAAGCAGAAGAGAGCTCAAGTGGGAGAGAGAAAAGGCAGAGAGAGTTTTGTGTAAGGGAGATTAAGCCACGTAGATTAATTTGTAACCACTAATACTTAGCCACGTGGCTAACCAAATCATCCACAGTCTAGAGTTCATGGCCATAGATCATCTATTGGGTTTGGAGGAAAAGGAGAAAGTTAAACCGAATAACCCGATGATAAATTGGTTTGGTTAAGTTCGGTTCGGGTTGATTAAAGTTTGGTTTTAATAAGAGATTGAATTTTGAACCATAGTTTTACCGGTTCGGTATCATGGGAATTCCAGTTTTTGGGGTTTCGATTCAGTTTCATAAATTTCTGGTTCAGTTTTACTGAAATTTGGTTTATAATTCCCTTAAAATTTGGCTAAATATGTTTAGCATTTTTTTATGGAAACTGATTGAGTTTTACAATGTAAAAAATCAAAATTTTAAATAAAATGAACTTAATAATATTAACAATTTTGGGTAATATATCAACCTAACCACAAACCGATTTTTTTTTTTTTTTTGGTAAAATAGAAACCGAAGTTATATTAAAAAACAAGCAATCGAAATGTACCAAAACCGAATCGGGAAAATATACATATATATATATATATATATATATATATCGGTTAAGTTCGGTTTGAAAATATTTCCCAAAATATTACAAGGTGTAAATTGAACTAATTGTAAGAAGTCTTGACAGTTCAAACTTCAAAACACAGTTAATATTCAAACAAGAAGTAGGGAAAAATAAAATAAAAAAGTGTCATACTAAAAGAGTTAAAAACTAGGAATATTAGAGATCCATCCATCTTGGTCGATGAAATTAGAGATAGAGAATCGTTGTTTAGCAGCAGAATAACTAAGTTTGTCAATCCATGGAACTCTTCCAGACATATCTGATCCTGCTCCTTTACATTCAACTTCTGCATACGTCAAACTCCATCTAAACCAACCAAAGATATAAACCAAGTTTTAATATATAGTTTTGCATATATCATAATGGGGATTTATATATATATGTTGTTATAGATGTTGCTTATACTTGTGGGCATCGCAGTGCCAAGAATCCCAACCAAGAGGGTGGACGACTGAAGAGAGTTCGGTTTGGATGAAAATGACTCGGCTGAATGGACCATAGGCTCGTCCAAGATAGACACTTGTGCTACCTGAAACACTACCACGTAGGAACACAAACCCACTTGGGTCCGATGGGTTTTGTCTCCCTTGTGCTGTTATGTACCCAAGTGCTACTTTTGATGCCAATGCTCCTGCCGTTGCGTTTATTTTACAGTCCTGTCAAATCATTTTACATCACTTTTATAACGTTTCTTGAATGTGCTACGTTATATACTAACGTTTCTTGAATGTGTTAAATATAACTGATTAAAAACATGTAGCAAGAACATGTTGAATCTATCTAGTAAGTAGTAACCAAAGTTGTAAGCATTTTATGATACTATTGTTTATCAATTACTCTATTCACTTAGTCTTTCTAGGACGTTTTCCAACAAAAGTCTTTTTTAAAAGTGTGTTTGGTTCCATGAAAGTAACAGTCTTTAATTTGTGTTAAAATAGTGATCAAGTACGGTTCTAGTGTTTGCCATCGAAACCAAAGTATTAAGCTGTATATACATACCTCATAAATAGATTGGCCCTGTCCAAAAATGAAATCGACAGCACCTTCGATATAACAGTTTTTGAAATGGTGTTTGCCCTGATTATCCCACAAAGTGTCTTGTAACCCCAAGAAATCGCAGTCGTAAAACGCGGATTTATCGCCATAAACATTAAGCGCTACTGCCGGCTTTATATTCCAACTCATACCGTTTGATGTAGTAGTAGGTAGACTATCCAAACGATTGTACGTATTCTGCCACCAACCTCCAAATAAAATGTTATCATTACTATATACTAAACTAATTTAGATATAGTATTAGTATAGAGTCAAAAGATATAATGTTAGGTGTATTGTTCCGTTACGTACCATGATTGATAAGTTTCGGACGACAACATAGGATGGATGTGAAGTGAAAGTTGTGCTGACATCAGTTGCTTTGTTACCATTATACGTGATGGTCGTGACTCTTTGTCCCTCTCCTTCTACTATTATGCACGATTTGTTCATTGGTATTGTCACCTGCTCTCTGTTTTATACACCATACAAAAACTATATGTTATATTTTCGTTGATCATATAATATAAACTCACTACAAGGAAGAAAAAACAAATGTTTATAACGGATTAAGGACGATCAAGATTAGTTGTAGTTCTTAACTTCTTACAAACGTTTAAACCAAAAACAACACAAATCCAATGTTTAATTAGGTTTTATTATGAACATTTTGGTATATTAACAACGCTCATAATTTATGTATATAGGTGTAATTGTGGAGTGGTCTAAGATGAAGTCAAGTTGTTACTAGGTCATCCAAAAGAACGTTACGATATCTATAAAATTGGAATAAAAGAGTATGGAGTTGGGGTTGTCTTTACTTACACGTAAACACCTCGTTTTACTTTGATCTTGATCCACAGATCATTCCCCAAACCAACCGAATCAATAGCATCTTGAACCTTACGGAACTTACCTGATGAACCACTTTGGTCGACGACGATAGTGTTCACGACTTTGTTGCCACAAGTCTGATCAAGAGCGGTGGCTGACGTAGTCAAAGATCCAAAAACACAAGAACTCAGAACCAAAGCTATGAAGATGAACAAACAAGACATGTTTACTTAATTAATCTATCTAACTATGTTATGTCTGAAAAGAAAAAAAATAAGATGACGAATGAAGTAGGAAGATAAATAAGAAGAAGGATGAAGGAGAAGCAAAGGAGAATGGAAAGTTAATATAATTATGGTGAGGGTTGAAATATTTTGCTTTAGAAAAAGATTAAAGCTAATTTTCCTATTTAGTATAGAGTATATAATTTTCTAGGATCTAAACTTGCTTGGTTATATTTATACCAACCTAAAATGCTATAATGTATAACCTATTGAATTTGGAATGTTATAATACAAATCTCGAATTTTAGCCGTCCTACTCTAAACTGACTCTAGCTAATTTTGTTTATAGGAGGAACTAGGAACTTTAACATAATGATAAACTTGTGTGTGTACACATAGATAAACCCTAAATTTCAGCTAAACTATAAGCTGGCTTGGCTATATATATATAAGAATTTCTTGTTGTAGGAGATTGGGTTGTGTTCTTGTAGGGTATTTAAAAAAAAAAATCTTACAAAGGGTATAAGAAAAAGAAATTTCATCTACCATTTCCTTTTATGTAAATTTTCCAGACTGTTTAATGAAATTATATATTTTTTCAACATTTTCTTAAAAAAATAGAGATTTATAATTTCTGTATATGTTTTCATATCTTTCTTTGTAAAGTTAGGTTAACTTTATTTGAAAATATAGAGTACATTTAATTTATTTATTAAGTTATAACTTTTTAGATTTAAGAAAATCACATTTTATATGTTTTGTTTAAATTTAAAGTGAAGGATAGTTAGATATTTCATATAAATATAATAAATTATTTCCAATTGCTTACATGGAAATCTTGGACCAATTCTGTTTTCTTATTTTATTTTTTAATAACAATATAATTATGTCACACTTATCATTTTTACAAACTAAAGCTGAATCTAGATTTAATATATCATTTGATTTAATAATTTTGTAGACAATTAGCTGGATTCTTTTGAGATTCTAAAGGAAAAATATACAAATGTAATCATGATTTTATTTACAATAAAAGAAAACAGGGCTATCCACATGATATAAAAATGTAATCATGATTTTTTCTTTTTTTCATATTACTTTTATATCATTATATATATAATAAATTACATTATTTAAAAATACCCTTAAGAAATATAATAATTTAATAATATTTCAGATTTTAAATATATAGTCAATTTAATCTTCATATGATTTATAATTTTAATAATCTGATCAAATCCTCAAACATGTTTCATGTGACTAGACATTTAGAATTAATTGATATTATATCTATAAACTAATATATATATATATATATATATATTTAACACAAGTTTTGTAGGCCGTTAACTCATAAAATGGCAATTATGGTAAACATCCATATTTATCTGTAAATCTTTGTCATATATCATGAGTTAACGCGATAATTTTTAAGAATAGTACAATTCTAGTAATTTAGTCCATACACATGTTGTTCGCTGATTTTTGCCAAACGAAATATAAATAAATAAAATTTTATATTGATTATGTACATATTAGAGATATTAAAAATTTTATATTATCATACTATGTAATTTATCGTTCTGAAAGACAGTTCATAAAATCATAAAAAGTCTCACACAATTTATTTTTGCTAGAACTCATTCGAACATAAAATGATAGATTTATTAAATATCATAACAATATTAATATCTTATCTAGTAATTCACTCCCTTCCCTCTAATACTGAGAAACAAAACATGGCACTATTAAAATCCCAATACATACCAACGACCATGCCAGCCACAAGCTTCCTCCTCTTAACAAATTCTTCGATCCAAGATTCACGCATAGCGAAGTTAACCTCATGAGGATGTTTCCACAATGTAACATAATGCAAAGTGTTTGTATCAAGATCTTTCACCTTTACAATAGACTTACAAGTCCATAAATTTATCCTTAAGATGTCATGTTCCGAAAAGTATGTCATTACGGTATCTTGGATTTGCTCAGTAGGAAGTTCGAACTTGCCTTCTTCCCAAGTTTCTTCCATTGTTAGGGTTTTGAGGATTTCCCAACGAAAAAAAGTTATAGGTCGGATCTCGACTTCTTGAGGAAACAATGGATAGTTAGGATATGTTGGATTAGTGGTTTCTTCTTGGTGTTTTGTTTGAAGGAAGGTATAGAACACAGTTTTAATCATACTTAGAAGATGAAATTTTGGATAGCCTTGCTTTGTTAGAAGGAGGGGTTGTTTATAAATATATATATAAGATTTTTTTATTGATGTAAATCTTTATAATGTTATGTTTTGGTGGTGAGAAAGTTAGGATACTTAATGATAAAAAAGAAATAAAATTTCTTTTTGGATTTAAAAGAAGTTGATGTGTTCTTTATATAGTGTTAAAGATTAAATGACATTAATCTATATCAACAAGAAATGACATTTATCTATTTAGGCATCAATAGGCATAGTACTTTATATCTGGTATTGCGACAACACTAGTACACTATATTAAAGATATATAAGTATTTTATGTGTTAAAAAGAAAGACATATTATTTTCCAATTTATAAAGTATCTCTATCTATTTTTCAAAAAATTAGCAAATATAAAAGAAATATATTATTTTTTTGCCATCTTATTATTTGTTTTTTCTTCTTTTCTTATCTTATTTATTAGTTTATAATAATATAACACTAAATATTGTAAGTTCAATTAAAAGAAAGCAAATTATTTTTATATGTTAACAAAAATCTTAAAATAATATATTAGTATATTTGTTATTTAAATTTACATATCAAAAGTTAAATCAAATATTTAAATCTCAGCAATATAATGCAAAAAAGACAAAAAAAAAAGAAAAAAAAAAAGACATTTGGCTTAAATATTATGTGACTGTTTCAAATTTCACATTTTTACATCTTCAAAACATAGCTCTGTCAAATAAAATATCATTCAGAAAACCTTCCGACCAAAAGAAATGTCATTTACAAAACCTTTCACATAATGATTAAACATGAAACATGACACGTTTTAGATTATAACAAAAATTTCGAGAAACTTATTTTATTCACCATTATAGTTTGTTAAAGCGTTTAAGAATAAGAAAAATTATTCAGTATTGGTTTTTGGAGTTGGTCTTACATATATGTAATAAAATAAAATTGCTGAGTCATACATAACGAAACCATTTGTTAACTGGCATAAGTAGTTGATGCCTACTATGCTTTTATAAACCGATGGTTCTGTTCTTGCGTACGAAAAGATTATGATGGGCAAAGTTTTAGCATACTCATGAGTCATTTAACCTTGAATTAGAAATAGAACCAGAATGAGAATACATGCAGACAAATCAAGTAATTGACAACATTTGCTATGCCTAGATCACTCTCTCATTTCACCAAGCAAAAAGAAGCATGAGATAGCCTGGGAATTCGATAAGCACAGGGATCGGATCATCGATCACACCTTTATAGCATCGGCTCTAGGTTTCCATAGCCCAAGCCTGTACTTGTGGCTGTATTTGAGTATCAGTTTCCTCTGCAAAATCAGAATTCATAATGAATCGAGTAAATTAGAGAAGTGAAGAACTGAGCCAACGAATCCAACCATACAATGGTGTGGTTCATGAAAGGAAGAATGTCGTAAGTAAGTGACAGGAATGTGAACAAGACTACATTTCATTCTTTTTAGGTGATCAACAATGAAACTCACAAGTAACATGCTAAACTGAAACCAAGAACAGATAACACACAACTACATGTACCTGAAAAGTTTCAAGAACTCAACTTTATGGTTTTACTCCTCTTGATTGGTACAGTTACTTCACTAAATTACGCAATGAAACAAATTCAAGGTAGCAGGTCATTGTATCCCTAACATCTCAATAACCATTACAAACCTATGACCCTAAGTATCGCTTTTCTACAACAACAGCTACTACAACCAAACATAACTATACAGAAAACTTCAGAGTCTTGAAAAGCTTACATGTTTGCAAGGTATACCAAACTTCTTGAGTCTAAGCGTACGCGTCACGAGTAGCTTCGAAAGATCACCAACCTCAGTTTCAAGTTTAGCAATGTGAGTCTCAACTCCTCCCCCAATCCCACTCAAGAACTCAGGAATCCCAACCTTCACTACAAATATCACAACAACAAGCAATCACAAACCCCAATATACAGATTCTGACTCAATCAAAACACAACATTCACACACAATGAACAACACTTCAGTATCAATTGAATGATTCACACATCTCTATAGCTAGACCTTCCCAAAAACAAAACAATCACTTGAAATTGAAACTACTTCAAGAGTAAGGTACTCAATCATGAACCTCCTCCACACAAATGAAACTTTCCAAGATCCCTAAGGTAACGAATCAGACAATTCCACATTTCACCGAAGCAAAACAAAATCAGAACAAATCTTTACCGGGATAAAGAGCTGGTTTGGAATAGAATCTAGGGAGGTTAAGATTCGACGACGGTGGTGCTGTCGTTAAAACAGATCTCGCGCTCTGTATCAGTCTCATCCACGACGCCATCATCGGAGCTTCTCCTCGACGCTTCGGCGAGACTTTGGGTTTTTGAGACTTTCTCTGATAGAGAGCGTCCCTCAATACGTCGTCGTTTCTCAAATAAAGGATAAACTCATCGATTGTTTTATATTAACGGGCAAGCCCATTACATTTTTGGCCCATTAGCTAAATCAATTTTACAAGAATCTTTGGAACCTAAACTTTCCCAAGACAGAACATAATCATTGTTTTAAAAGAAACCAAAGCTACAACAACACAACTCTCGAGTGAGCATCACGCGCCTCTGTTTGAAACACTAAAAACATAAATTTCTCCGCCGTTGTTGAGTGACGGAGCTAACAAAATACAATCCAAAACTTTCCGGTGATTAAGTTTAACACCGTTCATACAAAATAAAAGAGGAAATAACAAAATAAAAACTTAGACGGTGCAGCCACAGAAGAGGAAGAAGAAACAGAGCATAGAGACCAAGGCCACAGACTCGAACGCCGTCACAACTTTCCAAACAACGTCGTCGACCACCACGGACAATAAACTCAGCTCCGGTATACGCCAACTCAACCACCTCGGCAAAGATAGAGATGAAGTGACTTGGATCGCCATCGAAGTGAAAGTGTTTGTGTTAGTGAGATATGTTTTGTGTAGCTAATTACGGAAATGATGGAGAATGAGACTAATATATTAATGTGGTACATGCGAGTTTATAAAACTTATAAATTTTACAGATGTGTAATGTGTTGGAGTTTTTTGAAATGAACGGTGAGGATTTTAAGTTAGTGATGTTACATTTTCCGAGATGTGGAGCTGTGATTGGATGTATAGGGATCTGTTATAAAGAAAAAGCAAATAAGAATAGTTGTTTCCTCCATCATTGTGGTCAATGGACTCAAAACGTGGCAGGTTGAAAATATTTTCAGAAATTTTTGTTAAAACCAAGTTGAGGGTTCTCATACTCTCTCAATAGCCCATCATGTATATCTCTTACATTAGCCAAAGCTCTCCTTCTATGTAACAAAACTCCAATCTTATGATCTCTTAACAGCCATGCAACCCCAGCCAAACTGTTTATGCTGAACTATGAGATACTAATATTGCATTTGAACCAATTAATGGGAGCTAACCAACCTTTCCTCACCTGAGTACACCGGGTCTCCCTGTGAATGGAGGATAAGTTTTAGTATTAACTCCCTTATTCTCTTCTTCATCCTCTAACTTTTGAGCATCCATCTACTATTTCCAATCTTCCATACATTTTTGAATTGTTTATAGAGGAGAAGATCACATAGCTTCAAAATAAATATGATTTTTATTCTTCTAAATTTTCCAAAGAGTCCAAAATTTTTTTTTCTTAACTATCTTGATCACAAGTTATTCTTTAAGTTTTAAAGATTAAAGCTAAAAGCTTAAAGCTAAAAAAGATATTCAGAAAAGTAAACAGGAGAAAACGGCTAATGGAAAAGTGTTTTCCAGTCTTATGTTCCCTTCAAAACCTAGTGAAAGACACTGGTTCTGAAAAAAGGTCTTAAGCTCAAAAAAGGGTAGTCCGGATATTTTGTTTTTTTTTTTGCTTTTTGTCGAGTTTTTATAAATACTTTTTCTAATATACCACTAAACCAAATTTTGTTGTTGTTGTATACTGTATGGTTTTAATGTTATCAAATATGAATGAAAACATTGATGGGAAAAAACCCGAAAAATACATGGTTTATTTTTTTTGGACGTTTAAACCTAAATAAAAGTTAATTAATATATGTATATGTATATGTATTTATTATATGTATATGTATAAGTTTAAACCTAAATAAAAGTTAATTAGTAACCTAAATAAAATACTAAACAAATGTTAATTAGTATATGTATTTTTCTTCCAAAAATAAAAGTTCAGGTTTAAACGTCCAAAAAAATAATAAACCAGATTTTTCGGGTTTTTTTCCCAAACATTAATTCAGAAATATTCAAAACATATAATATACATATTAATTCCCTTACTTAAATCTACCATTGTGATTCTTGTAAGCGTCGCATCCATAGTAAAGTTGTTTTTTAATCGTCGCAGCGTTGTTGGCATGACTCTTATGACGACAACCATGGAAACCATAACCATGTCATGACTCTCGGACAAAGGTTGGCTTTAGCTCGTGTTCCTAATCTATTGTTATGCTCTAGTGGGTTCTCCGAGAGCGGTAAACTATGGTTTTATCACTTGGTTTGGTTAAGGTTTGGCGATTCTTACCTATGAGGCTTTGATTGAATAAGAAAGAGAGATAGGATGAAGTTTAGGAACTGAGCGATTTTTAAAAAATTTAGGTTAATTAGTTGATTAGAGATTATTATTATATATATGTATATATAACTTTTACCTATATGTTTTTGTTGTAAAATACCAAACATTCGGTCGAGTTAATTGTTCAAAATTGTTAAACATACAACACATGTAGCTAAATTATGAGTTGACACATAAAAATATTCATGATGATGAATGAGTATGGAACAAGATTATTTATAAATCCATTAATATACAGCTAAACATACAGCTAAATTAAGATATACATAATTTTCTGTATCATCTATCATCAACCAACGGTAACAAAACATAACAATTTTGCAGTATATGTGAATGTATCAATTTACTTTGGATTTCAATTTAGTTTCTAACGTCTCTTTTCAATTTTGTTTTTTTTATTTATTCTAAGGCAAATTAATAACCAAAGTATACTAACGTAAAAAAAAAAAAAAAAAGTATCTCCTATTGCACTGACCTTTTACTCTTTCCGTATTCAAAAATACTTATAACCGTTAGAGATATTGTGTAGAAATGATAAAGTCATATAAACAACAGAATAAATTATGGGCTTGTAACCGTTTTTCTCTCGTTTTGGGCGACTTCTTCACCGGCCAAAAACTCTCCTTTCAACCATTGTTTCCGGCCGGCGCTGGCTTGTCCGGCGTCGGTCGGTTCTGTCTTCTTCATCTAGTTGTTTAACATCTGTTTTTTACAGATTTAGGTAATTTTATAGTAAGTTCAGGATCACAAAATCATATTCTCTTGCCAACTTTTGACGATGGTGATGTACGGTATAATTCAGATTACTTCAATTCTTTTCACGCTTTTGTTAACGATACAATATCTGAATGGGATAGCTTTACAAATAACAGTAGTGCCGGTTCATTTGTGTCACAACTTGAGCCCTACTCAAATTTGCGTCGATTCGATTTGGATTCGAAAGAATCATTACGTCCTTTGGTTTAGAAGGGTTTTTTCCGGTGCTTGCTGGTGGAATTTCTGGTTTTTAACCGGTAAATGTCCTCCTACACGATGGTATGGAGGTATCATTTGGGTTTTTGATCCAGGAATCTATGGAGTAAACACTTTATTTGAAACTCTTAGAAATCATATCGAGTATGGTTCTGAATTCAAGATGCTTTTAATCCATTATACCTGCTTCAACTTATTTATATATGGGTTTGGAAACTTATACTTTGAGTGTGATAATTGTTTATCATCACTTGGCCAATTATTTTGTGGTCTTCGGCATGTCTCATCGTGGATGGTTTATAAGAAACAATGGTGGGAAGCACTAAGAAATGAGAATCCCAAATACTTTCTGCCGTGGTTTGTTGGTGATGATGATGGTGAGTGTGTTGCGTGGGACCAAACACATCACAACTTGTTTTTTCAATGTACATGTTACTGCTTAAAGGTCTATGGTCCTCCCTGGAAAGTTCTAAGAGATTTGTTGAAATCTGGCAAAAAATTATTTGTGATTATGTTTAAGAAAATTACAAAGTCAAAATATTTTAAAAAGATTTTGGTGCGGAAGTTTTGGTACCACTATGTCTACATTCCAGAGTTATGTTTGGACACATCGGGTTTATCGCTACGGTTAGCAAAAAGAAAGTTCAGCCACAAGTTGCTGCATGCAAATCGTAACAAAGAAAAATCAAATATGAAGTTGGACAATAACCGATTTTGCGATCGGTTAGCGAGTAAGACTACTCTTCAGAAAGCATCGTCAATCTCCCTTCTGCTGTATTTTTCTTAGTGTATGATACATATATATGTATGTAATAATTGTGTTACATTAATTTTGTATAATGTCTTTGTAATAACTCTTTGAAATTAATGAAAATTTGATTTTGCTGAAAAAAAAAAAACCGTTAGAGATATTGTTTTTATTTTATTTTTCTTCTTCTTCTATTTAATTCTAAATAAATAATCAAAATAAAAGAGAAAGAGCCGAGAAAGTAAAACCCTAGTTCCATTCTTCTCTCTCTCTCGCTCTCTCCCTCTCGATCTCTCTCTCTTGCTCTCCCTCTCATAGTTCTGTAGCATGATTTGGTTTTATGTTTCTAAGTATGGAAGCAGCAACATTAGATGAGTCATTCGATCGTACGGGAGAGACGGAAGCGAGGCTCGCCGATCCAATCCAGTGTATGTTCTTCAATTTCTTCCATCTTCGGTGTTTGAATTTTCGATTCTATGAACTTTGATTTCTGTTTCGTTGATTTCATAACAATTACAGTTCAATTAGGGTTTCAATTTCGTTGATTTTGGTTCTCTAATCTGAGAATCCAATTTAGGGTTTAATTTTAAAATTCCAAATTAGGTTTTCGAAACGAATTGGGTTTGGATTTTTTTGTTCTGAGAATTGAACTTAGAGTCGATTCTATGAGTTTGATTTCAATTTCTTTGATTTCGTAACAATAGTAGTTCAATTAGGGTTTCAACTTTGTTGATTTCGATTCTCTAATACGAGAGGCTAATTTAGGGTTTAATTTTAAAATCCAAATTAGGCTTTCAAAACGAATTGGGTTATGTAATCTTTCTTTTTATGTGACTTTTTGTTCTCTTTCTCTTTTATGCAGTTTCGGTTCCTGAAATCAAAGCAAAGAGTTCATTCAACGCAGAGACTGCAGATTAAAAATAAGAAGAAGAAGAAGAAGAAGAAGAAAAACTGCTTCTTTTGTTTCAATCAGGAAAGCGGTTCTCTTTTGTGCAGATTTGTTGAGGTACATTATTGTATACATTACTGAGAATGCATTATTGTTGTGGTTGTTGGAAGAAGTATAAATCTTCATACTTACGAAAGCTTTGTTAAGTTTATAAGCAAGAGATGAATATATGTTGATTGTGTTATGGGACTAACTCGAGATTTATGTTGAATCAGTGATGGAGTTTAACATTAGTAACATATGGCGCAAAAGGGGAGTTTTTCTGACTACACACCATCATCCATCAAGTATGCATATGCCAACTCAAGTAACTATTGTGAAGCAGTGACACTGTTGCTGAAGTATCTTGGTGGAGCTAAACACAACTGGCTCTTCTTGATCAAGGTAATCAATATTAACTCTCTGAATGTTCATGTCCCTAATGAAAACAACAGTGTCCCAGTTTTTTAAATTGTCTGAGTTTCAAGTCAGTGAGCTGATTCAAATGCCTTGTGTTTGTTGAATGTTCACGGTCCCTATTCTTGATGGTAGAATGAAACAAATGCCTCGTGTTGCTCTAAATGTCCCTGTCCCTAGCTAATGATAAAGAGATTGTCCCATTTTGGTAAATTCTCAGGTTCCTAGTCACTGAGCTGAAAGCAAATGCCTCATACCTCTCTCTAATTGTCCCTGTCCTGTCCCTGTCCCTGTCCCTGATGGTAAAACAAAACAAATGCCTCGTGTTGGTCGAGGTAATCAAAATTACCTCTCTGAATGTCCCTGTCCCTATTGATAAACAGATTGTCCCATTTTTGTAAATTCTTGGGTTCCTAGTCACCAAGCTGAAAGCAAATGCCTCGTGTTGGTTGAGGTAATTTAAATTACCTCTCTAAAGGTCCCTGTCCCTGATGGTAAATTGCAACAAATGCCTCGTGTTGGTTGAGGTAATTTAAATTACCTCTTTAAAGGTCCATGTCCCTGTCGGTAAAATGAAACTCATGCCTCGTGTAGGTTAAGGTAATTTAAATTACCTCTCTAAAGGTCCCTGTCCCTGATGGTAAAATGAAACAAATGCTTCGCGTTGGTTGAGGTAGTTTAAATTACCTCTTTAAAGGTCTCTGTCCCTGTCGGTAAAATGAAACAAATGCCTCGTGTTGGTTGAGGTAATCAAAATTACCTCTCTGAATGTCCCTGTCCATAATGATAAAGAGACTGTCCCTTTTCGGGTAAATTCTCTGGTTCCTAGTCACTGAGCTGAAAGCAAATGCCTCGTGTTGGTGGAGGTAATTTTAATTACCTCTCTAAAGGTCCATGTCCCTGTCCCTGATGGTAAAATGAAACAAATGACTCTTGTTGGTTAAGGTAATCAAAATTACCTCTCTGAATGTCCCTGTCCCTAATGATTAAGAGACTGTCCCTTTTCGGGTAAATTCCCGGGTTCCTAGTCACCGAGCTGAAAGCAAATGCCTCTTGTTGGTTGAGGTAATTTAAATTACCTCTCTGAAGGTCCATGTCCCTGTCCCTGATGGTAAAATGAAACAAATGCCTCGTGTTAGTCAAGGTAATCAAAATTACCTCTCTGAATGTCCCTAATGATAAAGAGACTGTCCCTTTTCGGGTAAATTCTCGGGTTCCTAGTCACCGAGCTGAAAGCAAATGCTTCGTGTGGTCTAAAGGTCCATGTCCCTGTCCCTGATGGTAAAATGAAACAAATGCCTCGTGTTGGTCAAGGTAATCAAAATTACCTCTCTGAATGTCCCTGTCCCTAATGATAAAGAGAATGTCCCTTTTCGGGTTCCTAGTCACCGAGCTGAAAGCAAATGCCTCGTGTTGGTTGAGGTAATTTTAATTACCTCTCTAAAGGTCCATGTCCCTGTCCCTGATGGTAAAATGAAACAAATGCCTCGTGTTGGTCAAGGTAATCAAAATTACCTCTCTGAATGTCCCTGTCCCTAATGATAAAGAGAATGTCCCTTTTCGGGTTCCTAGTCACCGAGCTGAAAGCAAATGCCTCGTGTTGGTTGAGGTAATTTTAATTACCTCTCTAAAGGTCCATGTCCCTGTCCCTGATGGTAAAATGAAACAAATGCCTCGTGTTGGTCAAGGTAATCAAAATTACCTCTCTGCATGTCCCTGTCCCTAATGATAAAGAGACTGTCCCTTTTCGGGTAAATTCTCGGGTTCCTAGTCACCGGGCTGAAAGCAAATGCCTCGTGTTGGTTGAGGTAATTTAATTACCTCTCTAAAGGTCCTTGTCCCTGATGGTAGAATGAGAACGAGACTGTCATGAGTCCGTAATTTTTCGAGTTCCTAATCAGTGAGCTGAAAAGAAAAAAAGCCTCATATTGATCGTGGCGATTAAGATATTTCATGCCAAAAGAGATCTCCTAATTGACGTAAATCAGGTATTTCCTTACCTCTTAACTTACTTACAAGAGTTCTTCAAGATCAATATGCAGAAGTGTTGATGATCAAGCTTACGAACAAATTCGAGGTATGTGGTAGTCTTGGTAATCTATATCTATGGGAATTCAGGTATGTAAATTTTGTATTTCTTCTCTATATTTTTGTTTTATTACTTGATTCAGTTTTGCTGTTGCCTCTAAGCTTAATATTCTTCTGTATTTTTCTGCCGTAAAAAAATTTATTGTTTTGTAGACTTACATCACATATTGTTTTTGCAGGCAATTTTTCTCAGGTTTCCAAAGATCATCAGATTATTTTCAGGTTAGACTCTTAGGCTTTATCTTTTTCCTCACATTTCCATTTTAAGAGTTGGAATCAGTGTTTTAAAAAGATATTCATATTGTCTTTGCTTAAGTTTCTCTCTCTAGTTCTAAAAGAGTGTAGGTCATTTCTATAGGTTGTTACAATTGAATCTGGAAAAAAATAGTAAATCACTTGATAAATAGTAATTTCTGCTCTAAATCAAATGGTTCAGTTTGAGGTTATTCTGAATCATGGTTCTCAATATTTTCAGCTTGAATATACTTATATTATACTTTTCTTGCTACATTGTTTTCTATGATTGATGTTTAATTTTTATCAAGACCTCTTCTTATAGTTGAAGCTGAATAATACAAGAGTTCTTGTATTTTTGTTAATCTTCTGTCATCTGATTTTAAAGATGTTTATTTTTACTTTAATAGTTTTATTATTTCTTGTTGATATTCTTGTTATGTTATGACCTTCTTTTGCGATTTAGCTAGAGTTGGATGAAATCTTAAATGTTGTTATTACTGTTACAGTGATCATCATGTAAAGTTTGCCTCCACTCTTTTTCGAAGTCTTATAACTCTGTTTATAATGTTTATGCTCATCTTGCTATATTAATAGTTTTGTTTGTGAAAGTTTCATGGAGTATTTGAGTTGGTGAGTGTCTTTAGGTGACGACCTAATTAAAATTATGCAGCTCATGAATACACATGTGATTCTCTGTTGCTATATTTTTATTCCTGTAATTGTAGGATCTTGATTTCTTTATACAAAGATTAAAAGCTGCATGTTATCAATTATCTGTGACATTATAATTCGTTTAGAAAACCATTCAATTACATGTGGTATGACTGTTAGTCTGTTACAATGTTTTGTGTGCTTTCATTTACGTGTAGCAGTGTAGGTAACTATGTGACAGCTGAACGTTGTTCTGGAAGATTGTATAGTTGTGTCATGTGTGTACTTACTATATCTGGTGTTCGTTGGTGTTCACAATATTGTGTGAGCAATATCTTCCCTGACTTGTGTGGAATGATTGATACAATGAGTGTCTTTTGTATTTGTTCAGACATAATTCTTAAAGAACCTTATGTCTGAGATATGTTAGTTTTGTTGTGATGCAACCCATTTATGTTTTGAAAACAGATGAAGTTTTGTGCAGCAATAGAATTCATAGAATTTGTTGCACTGTTCTCACTAGGATTCCTTATTCCAGTTATGAACTTGGCTTACCTTTGTATCAACTCGTTGTTAGCTATTTACTCTGATCTTTCTTTGTCTTCTTGTTATGACCTTATGCTCTTGTTTGTTGAGAGTTTTCAGCAATACCGTGTTTTTAGAAAAATTGATTGGCATGTTCTTATGATTGGTTATGAATGTTAATGATCAGTAAAACTGACAACGTCTTACTGTTGAAGCTGAATAGCACATCAGTTTCTCTTAGCTTTGTAGATACTCTAGCATCTGATTTTGAATACATTTCATGTTGCGTTTATAGCTGTATTCTTTCTTATTGTTATCTTTGCTATGGTCTGACCTTTGGTTATTTTGGATTCAACCATCGTTGGCTGAAATATAATATGTTAGTTATCATGTAAATTTTTCCTTCATTCATTTTCTAAGTTTTCACATGTGATTCTGTGTGACATTCTTCATATAACTATTCAATGTTAAATATTTGGTAGGATCTTACTACTTCTTCATACAACGATCATAAGATGCATTTAGTTTTGATATTGTTGTAACATCCAAGTTTAAGTAGAAACTTGTCTGTTACATGTAGTGTGTTTGGTATAAGTGTAGCTGTATATATGTTCTGGAAGATCATATAGTAGTTGTGTCTGCTTTACTGTATCTAATGTTCACACAAATGATTGAACAAACTATATCTTCTTTGACTTGTGTAGAAGAATTGATTCAATGAGTTCAAGTCTTAGATATGTCTTTTCTCTGTTGGTTCATTATTCTTAGAGCACTTTGAGATCTGTCGTGATGCAACCCATTTGTCTTATGAATATATTATTAGATGGGTTTAAAATGCATTGTTTAGTCTTGCTGTTAGTTACTAGTCTTGCTGTTAGTTACTACTCTATGTATAGTTCACTCTTTTTGGTAGATTAGGCCACCTTAAGTGGTTCTTTTGCCTCTTCTCTTTGGTTCTTTTTCAACTCTATAAACAATCCATATAATCTTACAAGAACAACATATTAACCAACTCAAAAGAAATGACCAGTTTGTACACAAAATTACCAAGGAATAACATTTTTGTTAGAAATTTTTAAGCCATAAAAATTGGCTAATAGTAAATTTCTTAATGGCCAAAGTATTCACAATTTAAGCCATTCTTGAACAAATACTTAAATCCTAGAGCTGCATCGTTTTATGTGGGAAGGCAATGTAACGACTTCTTATTTAAGACAGTTCTGGGGTAAATCCATCATAGCAATCCTTAAAAACAGTTGCATTACAATTTCTTTAATTGACTTACCAAAACATGAGGAAACAAAAATGAAAGTGTAAGAGACAACATGAGAGTGCCATTTTTTGAGTTTCAGAGATACTTTAAGGTGGTGCCTCTGGTACTTGATCTCTGCAAACTTAAACATCTCATCTCATAGATGTGGAAACGTGTCAATCCACTCGATGAAACTACTCTTTGTATCTCATGGACTCTTTCTCGAACCCAATTGTTGGGAATTGCTTAGCATATTCTTCTACCATCTCACGCAGCTTCGCCATCTCTGACTTTAGTTTCTCATTTGATTGCATTGTTGCTACAAAGTCCTTCAACTTTGTTCCTGCAGTACATTATAGATTCACCAACATAACCCCATTTTTCAGAGAGTGTAGCACAAAAACACAAAAAAAAAATGAAATGAACAGCTTTATTACATACCTTGAGACTCTGCCTTGATCTTTAAGGCTATCTTGACGGCTAAATCAAAATAATCGGCCACTCTTGCAAAATCTTCTTCAATGAATCCTCTTGATGTGAGAGCCGGTGTTCCTGTAACCATACCATCATTTATAAGAACAAATCAAAACATGAACATTTACTACTTTTTCGACATACTAACACGTTACTTCTTTCAGTGTTCCTTTAGGAGCCTTACCCATACGGATGCCACCTGGAACCATGGCAGAAACATCACCAGGAACAGTATTCTTGTTTGCTGCAATATGAACTGATTCCAATACTTTTTCCACTCTTGATCCATCTATTCCCTACAGAACCCAATTTCCACAATAATATATGTTACTAGAGAAAAGTATACACTATGCACTGCTTACTGAGGTTCACAGGAGAAAATCAAACATTTTAACTTGATTTGCTATATCCTGGTCAGCATATAGTAAGTGGAAAATGAAATCACACAACAGATACGGGAAACAAGAAACCATCATGTTTTAGTTTTATCATATACGAAAACCATATTTTCGTGAGTTAAGCTCTAATACAGACGAGATTCATCTTTTCATATGCAAACTCGTACGTCAGTGCAAACATTTCCGTCTAGATATCAAGGAAACAAAAGGTAGAACGCAAAGTACCTTGTTTTTCAGGTTCACCAAAACTAAATGATTGTCAGTGCCTCCAGACACTAAATCATATCCTTTTGCTAGCAAAGTCTGCAGTTTCAAGCCATTTTATATTTTTTAAAAGTGAGATGTTTACAGAATTATACCCAGCTGTTCCAAACATGACAGTATACCTTAGGCATATCAACTAATTACTGACGATCAGTAAGCAAAACGTACCTCAGCAAACTTTGAGCAATTACGGAGAACTTGATCCTGGTAGGCCTTATACTCAGGTGTTCTCGCCTGTAATAGAGTAATTCAACAAGTCAAATGATCATAAACAAGACCAAGGTAATCCTAGATTATAACTTAAATCACATTAGTGAAAGGAGTTCATCTGTACATATTAGACAATATAACACAATTTCAAAACAAAGTTTGAGACTGAACCTGCTTCAGAGCAACTGCTAGACCCGTTATTGTGTGATTATGTGGACCACCTTGTAGTCCAGGAAATACAGCTTGGTTTATTCTGTCTTCATAGTCATACATAACCTGCAAGGTAAGGATACAAACGATAAACAAACAAATACCGTGAAAATCAGTATAAGAGGAACCTTAAAATTTCACCTCTTTCCCTTGTTTGTTAATCTCTTTTAATCCCTTCCTAAAGAATATCATAGCCCCTCTAGGACCACGAAGCGATTTGTGAGTGGTAGTAGTAACAACATCTGCATACTCAAAAGGAGAAGGAATAACGCCAGCAGCAACCAACCCACTAATATGAGCCATATCAGCCAACATAACTGCCTTTTGCTTGTCACAAACCTGCAAGTTTTTTATCCACAATCTTGAAAAGTACAATGCACATTTATTTACAAGCAACTTTGATAATTATACTTCACACTCAAGATTTGAGACAATTTATTACCTTACGAATGCGTGCATAGTCATATAGACGAGCATAGGCACTTGCTCCCGCAACAATTAGTTTTGGTCTGAAAAGCACGGCACTTTTTTCTAGCTGCAAATTATCATTTCACAACTGAATAAACTTTTCTTTCAAAACTGATCACATGGGAAACATAAAAGGAAAAGCCTGTATATATCCAACATACATCTCAGTGGTCTATTTGAGAGAGATAAAATGTTCAAACATTAAGCTAAGGTGGTTATTAAACTACCGAACCTGATCATAATCAATGTAACCAGTGTTCTCATCCAATCTGTATGGCATCGTCTCAAAAAAGATAGATACAGCCGATATTTTCTTCGTGTCAGTCTGCAAATGAGCAATCAAAAGAAAATGGAATAAGGTATTCCACAAGGAAACCTAAAAACTGACCATGCTTATAAAGATTAGATACCTGATAACCATGAGAAAGATGTCCACCATGAGGTAAGTCAAGCGCCATGATTCTCTCATGAGGTTTCAACAAAGCAGTGTACACTTGGAAGTTAGCTGGTGATCCTGATAAAGACTGCACATTCACTACAAAAAAGGAACAGCTCATTTAAAATATCACAACTAAGTTAAAATATCAGAATCATCTGCCAGAAAAACTCATACCTCCCCATTTAGAAGGATCTAACTGAAAAGCTTCTAACGCGCGTTTTTGACATAACGATTCAGCCATGTCAATGTACCTGATTAGATCCAACTTCAACATCATATACAAACAAACAAAGTGCAAAGAACCACTCAAAAACACACAAAAACGTTTAAACATACTCGTTGCCTCCATAGTATCTAGCTCCAGGGTATCCTTCACTATACTTGTTAGTCATAACAGAACCAACGGCTTGCATAACCGAAAGAGAAGTGAAATTCTCAGACGGTATAAGTTCAAATCCCTGTAATAAAAACACCAAGATTTGTCAAAACTTGATCAATGAAATTAGAAAAATCAATCTCAAGTATTATTACCTTCCATTGTCTAGCTTTCTCTAATTCGATAATATCAGCGACTTCAGGATCGATTTCGTCTAGAGATGCATTGAGTTGTTTTATCCACTGGATTGATGATAAAAAGAACAAAAAACGTTTTTTAAATCGTGAAAATAAGACATGATCTGATTGATGATCACAAAAAAAGACAAAACTGATTGATGTGTGTTTTTTTTTACAATGGAACGAGGTTTCTCTGAATCCGCCATAGCTGAGGCTGATACAGACGACGACTGAGACAGAGCATAAGAAAAATAGAGAACGGATCAGAATCAAAGATAAAGCGTAAGAGAATCAAAATGAAGGGATGATGAGAGATTTGAACCATGAAACGGAGAGAGTCGCCGCCATTAGAGTAGAGACGAGAGATCGGTTTCTTAACGGAAGAGGAGAGTCTACGAAGAGCCAACGCCATCTTTTTCTATCACTCTTCTCTTCTTCCTCTGTGTGGTTTCTGTGAGTGTGTGTGAGAGAGTTTATAATATATAAAAGCAACTCTGCTGGTTAGCATTGGGGTTGGTGAGATGAGATGCCTTTTATATCATAACTTTTTTTAATTTCGACTCGGTGCGTTTTGGTTATTTTTATTTTATTTTATTTTGTTGATTCGATATAAAGATCCGAATTGTTTTCTTCAAGGCAATCATGTATATATACTAGTTTAGTACCCGTCCATATCTTTATTTAAAATTGAACTAAAATTAGAATTTATTATAACTTATAAAAAAATAATTTTCAAATCTTTTTTTTTGGAAAAATAAGAGAAATTAATTTCATTTGAAAAAGAGATTTTATTTGGTTTGAACTATCAAATAAACATGTGTATATATATATATATATATATATATATATCTTAAAATTCGTTCTTAAACGTTAGTTATAAAAACCTAGTAACGTCAAACTGATACTCACCAAAACATTTGGGAGCTATTCACCATTATTCATAGTATTGCTAAAATATTTTTTAAAAAATCTTAATTTAGCAATTATCCTGTAAAACATGATTATACCATTTTGTTGAAATTGTTATTTCTTAACTTTCAATTTTTTTAAAAATCATTCTCAGACTATGTAAATTAATTAATTATTATTTAATATGATGGTAAAGTTCTTTCAAATTAACATTAATCTAAAATATGATGTTAAATACAATTATAGTCATTTGTAAATAAGTTCATATAAACAACGCAAATAAACATAAATATTCTAAAATAAATTATAGCATCGTTGAGGAATACATTAAAAAATCTTTCAAATACGAATTATAAAAACTACATATTTTTAAAAAAATATTTTTAAATTACTATATTATGAATTATATTGAACTTTTGTTATCTTTAATTTAAGCTAAAAATATTATTTTCGAAAATCTTTTATTCACCCTTATGTTTTAGACAATGAAATTGCTCAATAGCATGATACATTCATACATAAATTAAAAATTAAGCAAATATAACATATTATAAAATAAAAATCATGAATAAATATATATATTTAGTTAAACTCAAATTCTATTTTATTTGTAAAATGTAAATCCTAATTCAGCTTTATGAACCCAAACTGATAAATAATCTTGTTTAATTGTAAAACCTAAATCTCACTCCTCTTTTATAAACCCAAACCGATAAAGAATCTCGTTTAATTATAAAATCTAAACTATAATGCGCATTTATAAACTCAAACCAGCATATAACCCTTATAATTGTAAAACCTACAACTGGCAAAACCAAAAATTAGGTTAATAGTTGAAAGAGAATTTTTGTGAAATACCTCTTTTGGTGTACCGCTTTTTAAAAATACACTAATTTTCTATCCATTTTTAAAAATACCCCTATTCAAATATGAAAAGTTGTAAACTTTTATATAGTTTGTAAGGTACATCTAAATCATCATTACTTCTTGGAGACTCAATACAAATATTTAAAAAGTTTTAAAAGATTCTAAACGGCATTTATAAGACTTTTATAAGGTTTTTATAAGGTTTACAAAATTTTTATATGGTTTTTAAATAAATTTCAAAAGGTTTTAAAAGGTATTTATACGGTATTTATAAAATATAGATATAAACTTACACACATATAAAGATTTTTTTTTTGATAAATATCAATTTTTTTACATTTAAATTTATCAAAAATACCCTTTTTCCAGTACCACTTTTTAAAAATACCCCTATTTCAAACTTTATAAAAAAACCACTAAAATGTTAAAATTTATCCAAATATGTGTGTAAACTTGATAATATACACACAAATTACCTTTATATATGTATAATTTTTTATACATCTTTCATAAATAGCGTAAAATAACTTATAAATACCTTTTAAAAACCTTATAAACCATTTTAAAAACCTTATAAACCCTTTTAAAAACCTTATAAAACTTGTAAAAATGATTTAAAACCTTTTAAAACATTATAAAATATCTGTATCATATTTCAAAGTAGTAGTTATTATATAGAATTACCTTATAAACCATATAAGACTTTATAATTTTTCATATTTAAACAGTGATATTTTTGAAAATGGATAGATAAAGGGTATTTTTGAAAATGGGTACACCAAAAGGGGTATTTCTCAAATATTCTCTTTACTTTTTTATAATTATTCTATATATTTTGTTTTTAATGTTATTTAAAAATTCTATTTTTATCTTAATATCTATTTTTATCTTAATATTAACCAAATTAGATATAACATGTTGGGACATCTTATGTTTTACTTGACAATTATCATGATCACATGAGTTAGTAAATTTAAAAATCAAGTTTTGACATATGATCTCGTTTAATTGTTAAACTTAAACCATAAAATATAATTTAATTTACAAATAACCATAACTCTCATTTATCATTTATATACCCAAACCAACAAATAACTTGTTTTAATTGTAAAATTAAAGTTTAAACCTTAATCCTCTTCTATAAACAAAAACCGACATATATTCTTGTTAATTATAAATTTTAAATTCATATCTTATTAATAAACCAAATTGACATAACTGAAATTAGGTTATTTGTTTAATTTTATTAATAATTTTTAATATATAATTCTTTATAATATTTATTTTGTATATTTCATTTTTTGATAGGCTTAATAATATTTCTATTTTATTTAAATATTAACAAAATTAGAATCGACATGTGTCAACATCTTATCGTTCATAATTGACACATGTCACGATCTTGTTAATGGCTGACTTTGAAAACCAAGGTTTATATAATAAGATTTCTTAAATTTCATCATGTCTTATACAACAATAAAAATTTGGTGTTATTTAGTCTAGTTCGATCTAATTTGGTTTAAAATTTAGAATTTATTGAAGTATAAAAATGGTTTTGATTCGGTTATTTTGATTTTAGAGTTTACTATAATTTTTACTGATTTGGATTTTAAAATTTAGAATTTAGTGTAAAATTACTGGGTAAAACTATAAAATTTCGTAGTTTAGTAACATTAGAAACTACATAAACTTATAGACTTATAGTTTAGTAAATTTACTATAATTCTTGTTATAAGCTACATAGACTTATAGCTTATAACAAGATAAGTGTCTTTCTTTTTAATTACTGCAAACACTTAAGATTTTAAATGATTACAAGTTATCCTTGTAAGCCAAACACACCAATAAACTTACATAAGAGGAAAGATAAATTAAACATGTTTTCAAAGTAGACAATATCCAAGCTTTAAAACTCGACTCAGATCCATAATAACTACAAGATAAACAAAAAGGACTAAACGTTGCAAAGATACGATCGTACTCATAGCACAATGTGAGGCCACTCGGGGTGATATATAGATGACCGACCATTGCTGCCATGCAACTGTGCAAGCCACATTAGTTTGAGACAAGATTAGTGTTTAGTGGTTGCTAAACCGCTAACACCTACGATGATTATTTTCAAGAAATAGTATATGTATCATAGTTGGAATTCATGAAAAACATTAAGGGAAGAATAAGCAAGATTATAAACATGTTTAGATGAATAATGTTTGTTAGTGCCCGCACAGCCGTGGTCTAGTGGTAAGAGAGAATTAGAAAAATGTTGGAAGGAATTAACCCAGGTTCGATCTATCCTGAAAACAAAAATTATGGTTGTGTGGGAAGTACGTTAATTGAGCCAAAACCCAATTGCTTTACAGTATGCAGCCAAAAGGATTTATAAAAAAAAATAAAAATGTTTGTTAGTCTGGACCATCGTGAATCTGAATTTTTTTTACATGAGTTTGGAAGCTATAGTTTTTCTAGTATAATCTTGTACATACAACTTCTTCAACATTCTCTAACCGAACTAAAAGACTTTTGAAGAGTACTTGTGGTTTGTGACAAAGCTAATAGCTTAGTGGTTAGCTAACCCACTAATGACCACACCATTGATGGCCACTCTTAAGGGACATACGTATATCTTAGCTGGAACCAGAGCCGTGATGCCCGTGACTACCTCTTTCGAGAAACATGGCAAGTGCCATATTTTGTGTAATAATTTTAAGAGGCCACATTAATCATAATATCCTTATTATGTTGTTGCCTTTGTCTTGAAACTATAGTTTGGTTCCGAAACTCTTATCCCAAAACAGAACATAAGACCACTCTCTCATTCTTTTTCCATGGCCTTCTTATGTCTCTCTTCTATTTGTCTCTTATGTTGACATTGTTCCTTAAACAAAGCCACCTCTTGCAATAATCCAACTAATAAACTATTTTAATATATTTTCAAACTCATTTTTCTATTTATAAAGTTAGAGCCATATTTTTGGGCACTAACTTCTCTTATCCTTTGGTTACAAAACAATCATAATTCTTGTTCACTAAATTTTATGATAAAAAAACATATATAATCAAATGTCATAGACAACAAAAACTCTATTATGGAGTCAAATCCGACGAATCATACTCCATTTTCAACTGCAAAATAGAGATTTTCATTTTTTTTTCTCACCATATTTATTTGAAGATTTTAAATTTATTTCTCTAATATGAAATTGGATTCTTTTATATTTAAAGTTGGGTTCGAAAAAAAAACACAACTCCAAAATAGAAAAATGATGAAATAATTTGGATGAACCAAATTGCATTCCCATAGAAACTACATACATAATTTATGAAAGATAGAAGGATATTGACATAATTAATTATAGGGCATTATCAAAATTTTAATGAAATATCTTGGAAATAAGCATACACATTGGTTAAATAATTTTCCGAAATTTACACCACATATAAAAACAGCCAAGCTAAAGCCTAAATGATTAATGGTCTATAACACAGTTTTTTTCTTCAAGTCTTGAACTACAATGATCCAAATATATCATTGGATCTATATTAATCCAAATACACAGTTTTTATAACTATGCTTTGTAGTAGCCAAATACAAATCAAATTTTAAAGTATTGTAAACATATATATATATATACAATAAATATATGGCAAAATTGGCTCTTGTACTTTTTTGGTCTTTTGTCAAACTATAAACCCAATAACTTGAATTTTATTTCTCAATTTCCCTTTTTATGTCATAAAACAATTAATTCACAAACTCCATAATTAGTGGCAAAATAAGCATTTTTATTTGTTTCTCCATTATATCTTTCTCTCTCTCATAAATCAGATAAGCCAAGAAAAAAAAATCATTTATTTCGAGAAATTAATTCATTGACTGTGTGTTATTAGAAGCAGCTTCCTTTAACGTGTTTCCTCTCTCTCCTCTGTCACGCAAGAAAACATAAATATGATCACTTTAATTTTCTCTTCTCTCGGGACTAACTAAAAAAGATTCAACCAAAGTACCAAGAACACTTGGAGCAACAAATACCCAGAAGTCTCTGCTTCTTTTGAACTCGTAAAGTCTCCATCTTTAACAATTGTCTCGAAACTATACTGTGTTTTTCATTATAAGTTCTTCAATGGTCTATGTTTTGTTTTAATTCTATAGTTTGAGATTTGTCTCTGTTTTCTTTACAAAGGTTTGAGATTTGATCTGATACTTTGAAACAGAGTCAGAGTGGTGTTTTTGTATATGAGAAATTGGACAAGACCCTGATGTCAGATTGCGTCAAAACGACGGTGGATCCGCTTTTGAAAGATTTGGATGGGAAAAAAGAGAGCTTTAGGAGAAACGTTGTGTCTATGGCAGCTGAGCTTAAGCAAGTGAGAGGTCGTTTGGTTTCTCAAGAACAATCCTTTCTTAAAGAAACCCTTTTTAGAAAAGTTAGTACTTTTCTCACTATTCATTGTGTTTTGAATCTCTTAATATTGATTTGTTACTGCTTTGGTAGGGTCAAAAATCCGGTTTGACAAGTTTGGATTTGGTTTTTTTCTCTCTAGGAAGCAGAGAAGAAAGCTAAGGACATGGAAATGGAGATCTGTAAGTTGCAGAAGAAGTTGGAAGATAGAAACTGTGAGCTTGAAGCTTCAACTTCTGCTGCTGAAAAGGTTTGTTTTTTTTTCTCAAAACCCTTTTCTGCTATATAATATATTGATACTGTATCTGAAAAGTTTGGTCTTTGAGAAGTGGTACTTGATCTCAACTTTCTGAAGTAATCATTATAGTTACTATTGGATCAATGGCCCCTTTAGATCTTAAGCTAAAGTAGATGAAACTGAGTGTGGAAAAGGTTGACTGAGTCCAGTCTCAAATTTATTATAATTAATGTTCAGTGAAGTTTGGACCTTTTCAAAAATAGTTCCTTGAATGATATTGGAATCCTAACTGGGTCATCTTTAGACAAAAAGGGTCTTAGTTTGGCTTGAAAAGTTGTATGCTTGTGATGAATTCACAAATTTGGTTAGTTCTCAGGTCTAATGTTTGAAAATGTAGAATCTGAGATGTGCAAATGGGTGTTTCTTGAGCACTTAATACATCGATTAGGAGTTCTGCTTGATAATGGATTGGTTTGCATAGCTGCTTAATGTTTTTCTTTTCTGAATGTTTTTGATTTCTTAATCTGATAGGTTTGAACATAGAATGGCTTAAGTTACTCAGCTAACATAATTTGAGAATCATTTGAGGTATTAGGGAATGTAATATCCATGCTAAAGAATGCTTCTCTTATGCTTGTTTAATCCTATGTGGGGATAACAGTTTCTTGAAGAAGTAGACGATCTGAGATCGCAGCTAGCTTTAACAAAGGAAATTGAAGAAACAAGTGCTGCGTCTGCTCAATCCGCACAGCTTCAATGCTCGGTGCTTAAAGAACAATTTGACGACAAAACACGTGCTCTAAGAGAACACGAAGACCGTGTAACTGAGCTCGGTCACCAGCTTGATAATCTTCAGAGAGATGTGAGGGCAAGAGAATGTTCTCAGAAACAGCTAAGAGAGGAAGTTATGAGGATAGAGCATGAGATCACTGAAGCTGTTGCAAAGTCTGGGAAAGGCACAGAATGTGAGCTCAGGAAACTTCTGGAAGAGGTTTCTCCAAGAAACTTTGAGAGAATGAACAAGCTATTGGCGGTAAAAGACGAAGAGATTGCTAAACTAAAAGATGATGTAAAGTTAATGTCAGCTCATTGGAAACTCAAGACAAAGGAACTTGAATCTCAGGTTCAGCATCCATATCTGTCCTTATTCTCTTGTTCTGTTGGATTTCCCAGTTTATTATCTGAAAGTTTCAATCTTTGGCTGATAAATGAACATTTTCAGCTGGAGAGACAAAGAAGAGCAGATCAAGAGTTGAAGAAGAAGGTACTGAAACTAGAGTTTTGTCTGCAAGAAGCTCGTAGCCAGACAAGAAAGCTACAGAGGGTAAAGTCCAAGATTGATTGTGGCTTTCAATTTACTTAGCTATTTATGAAACCCCAAATGAATTTATCTGTATGCTTGATGAATGAAACACAGGCGGGGGAGAGGCGGGACAAGGCAATCAAAGAGCTAAGAGATCAGATTACCGGAAAACAGCTGAATGAATCGGTTTCAGGGGAGAAACCAAACTTCTGGGATACTTCAGGGTTCAAGATCGCCGTGTCAATGTCGATGTTGTTATTAGTGATTGTCTCCAAAAGATGAGTTCTTGTATCCTGAACTCTCTTTTATTTTTGTTGGTGTGTAAATGCAGTAGTTGCAGATAGTAGTAGTAGTAGTAGTAGATAAATGTTGCATATTACTCTATGAGGTTAGCGAGGAGGACTCTTACTTCAATTATTAAGTTATAAAATTGAACAAACACAAGAATCAACTTACATTGATTTAACTGGTTGTCCAGAGAGCAAGCGAGTTGCAAAATTGAGATTTTTAAAAACATTGTTTGAGACGACACAAGAATAGATAGAGAGCTTTGTATATGTTACATAAGAAGTAAAGAACCAATAAAGACTGACAAATAGGATTATTAATACATCCACCCATTGCCAATGTTTGGGATATCATCGGGGAACCAACTCCATGGGTTAACCTTATGGAGTAAGTCTCGCGCCATTTACTCGTTATCAACTCAGGCCCAACTCAGTCAAAGCAGAACCGAATGCACCAAACTGAAACCGAGCCCAAAAACCGAACCGAAATTTTTAAAAAATCTTATACTCAAGAACCGAAAGTATCCGCAACCGAATCATACAGAACCGAAACCGAATGGATATCTGAAGTATTTAAAATACAATTATATAAAATATTTGTTATTTTTAGATCAAAAAAAAATAAAAATATCCAATAGTCAGACAAAAAAACTGAAAAAATCCAAAAAAAATCAAAAATATCCAAAATAATCCGAAAATTTCTGAAATATCACAACATATCTGAATTTTTTCGGTTATAACCAAACCAAAAATAATCCAAAAATATTAGATCACTAGATCAATTTTTTTGTTCAAGATCCAAAACCAAAACCGAACCAAAATTCGAAAAAAAACGAATGGAGCTTGTAATCAAGATCCGAAAGTATCCGAAACAGAATCATACCGAACCGAAACTGAACCGAATATCTGAACGCCCAAGACTAGTTTCGGCTATGGCTAAACGGTCTTCAAGGTTCACTATCTCAGTTTCAGAGGTGATGCATACATAACATATGGTTTATTGGTCGAAGAAGGAATCAACTTAAGATATACAAAAATAAACGTCCATAAATTTCCAAACCATTGTGTTTTGAATCTATGAAAGATCTTGAAGTCAGGCTTGGCTTGCTTTTTTTTTTACTTAGAACACAAATTTGTCTCAATTCACAATATGATAAAAGAGATTGGTCAAAGACGCTATATATGTTGTTTCTTTTGTAAAAATTTGTTATTAATCTCTTCTTTTGGGAAGTTATAGCTAATGAGTTTGAATAGAAATGTCAAATATTCTTGACTTGGGACATTGTTAAAAAGTCTAAGAAGTTGATTATGGACGGTTGTATGTTTCATGCTTTATTTTTTTCTAAGCATGTGAGACGAAAATTTATGATTGACCATATGTTTTTAGTTTTCCCAACTTTGAATTGAAATGTACTAAGGGAGGGATAAAATCCAATAATTGGATGAATTATTGAAGATAGGCTAAGATAAAAGTGGTTGGTCGTTGATTATTTTTCGTTTCTTTTATTTTTGCCTCTCCGACACGTTTGACCCAACGGCCCATTTTTTCAGCTTGTGGTCTCTCACTATCTGAAACTTGGTATATTCCTTATTGATAAAAATATATAGGTGTGTAATAAACACACAAAAAAGTCAAAATTATTCTAATTTATTCTTTCTCTCAACTCCAAAATATTGAAAGAAAATAATATTGGTATTGTATTGAGCCGTATTTTTTTGGATTCTCTAAAACCCATGCTAGTTTAACATTAATATATTGTCCGTTTTAATATATTTGCTCAAATCCATATGAATTTGTTATTGAACTTTTTTCCAAAAAACCTCATATTAATTCGACTCAGATATGATTTATATATTATAATTTTTTTTGATATTCTGATTTTAGACGTTGATTTGTTTTCGAACAATAGTTTTAGTAAAAGAAAAAAATAATCTAAAAAACTACGTACAATAGTCTCTATTTATTAATCGTATTACAATAAGAAAAATTGTCTTAAAAGGTTTGAGCTTAAAAATGGCGAGAACTATTTAACGGTTTGAACATCTGTTAAAATATTTTCTTATATAATAAAATTTAAGTTTGTGATTTATTTCAAAAGTTAAATGAATAACTTAATCTCTTATTAACATATTATTGTTAACTCCTTATATGATAAAGTAAAAAAATATTTAAAGAGCTAATAATAAAAGTTAGATGCTTAATTTAATAAATCCAAAATTATTTCCACCATTTTTACTAAAATCATGTTTCTTTTGATTTTTTTTTTTACATTAACATAATGGGTTCTATGTGTATTTTCCATAATCCTTATCTTTTGTATTGGGAAACAAAAAAAGAGTTTGAATGGTCAAAAACTATAAAAAAACCAAACCCAATGTAACTTTATTTTTCTTACAAAAAAAAACTTTCTTACTAACTTCGAAGAGTCTCATTATTAATATTTTTCACTAAAAAAGACTATCCAATGCTGGCCAATGTTGTTGTATCACACAATAGAAGAAAGTCTTTAAATTTATATAAAATTTATAATTTCATAATTCGTCTCACCGGAAAAAAAAAAAAAAAAAACAAAGTTAGAGAGAGAGAAGAAAAGAGAAGAGAGAGAGGGATTCGATTCATCATCATTCATCAAAACACACAACTCCAAATCCTTAAAATCGTACGGATCTCTCTCTCTTTCATATCCTTAATTCTTCATCTTATTCATCTTCGATCTGGGTTTTTTAGGTTTTCTTCGGTAAGTTTTTAATTTCTTCAAAGTTTTGATTTTTATGCTCCTGTTGCTCATCTCGAATTCTGGGTTTTTAAAATTTTCTTCTTTTTTTGAGTTTTAGCTTCAGATCTGCTTCTTATACACTATGATTCACTATGAAACTTTAAACCCACCATTTTTAATCGGTTGATTCTATCTTTCTCTACCCAACTTTAATTTGGTCTTCTTCGTCTTCATCTTCTTACTTTAATGCTTGGGTCTTTGTAATAAATTCGCATTTTTTTTCTTACCCGTTTATAAATCTTTCCTCTTCCGTAAACTTTACTGTTCTAATATGTTGTATAAAAATCAGATTTTTAGTTTTATATATTAGTGAAGCTTGAAATGAGCTTTGTTTTGTTCATTGGTGAGAAATTGAATTTGTGAGGTCTTTCTTTATCAGAGAACTAATTAGTAAAGCAACGAAATTTAACACATTGGACTCATCTTTGTTGTTATTGGTGTAGTTTGAAGAGTTGAGATAAAGGAGGAAGCTGTTTTGTAGCCTTGAAAATGGCGTCAGTGGGTATAGCTCCTATCCCTGGGGCAAGAGACTCTACTGCACATGCTTCTGGTGTTGATAAATTACCTGAAGAGATGAATGACATGAAAATTCGAGACGATAAAGTATGTTTCGACGCGTTTGTAGTATAGTTTTTGGTATGTTTTCATAGATTATTGAAATCGGTTGTGATTGTTAGGAAATGGAAGCGACGGTGGTAGATGGTAATGGGACTGAGACTGGCCATATCATTGTGACTACTATTGGTGGACGAAACGGCCAACCAAAACAGGTTCTTTTTGCTTCTTCTTTGTTTCAACATTTGCAAAAAACTCGTTTCTTTTCGACCTCTTATGTTAGTTGATTCTTTATATATGTTCTATTTGATTTAACTTTGTGAAATGTGAATGCAGACGATCAGCTACATGGCAGAACGTGTTGTTGGACATGGATCATTTGGCGTTGTGTTCCAAGTGAGTTTTGTTCATTTTATCTATCTCTTATGGAATATATGATAATTTTATATATCAATTGACTGACTTGGAATCCTGTTTCTTTCCGTTGTATGGTTTAGGCGAAATGCCTTGAGACAGGAGAAACTGTTGCAATAAAGAAAGTTTTACAAGATAGGAGGTACAAGAACCGTGAGCTTCAAACCATGAGGCTACTTGACCATCCAAATGTTGTGTCTTTGAAACACTGCTTCTTCTCAACCACTGAAAAAGATGAGCTTTACCTCAATCTTGTTCTTGAATACGTCCCGGAAACTGTTCATCGTGTTATCAAACATTACAACAAACTGAACCAGAGAATGCCTCTCATATATGTCAAGCTTTACACATATCAGGTATTAATTATTGTATTTTTATCAGGTTCTGGAGGTTTTTTTTTGTGGATCACTGACTGTGTTGCTTCTATGTTTGGCAGATTTTTAGGGCTTTATCTTACATTCACAGGTGCATTGGTGTGTGTCATCGCGACATAAAACCTCAAAACTTGTTGGTATGAAAAAGCTTTATAAACTAGTATTCACAGGATACTTTAACATTTACTTGTCTGCAATTTTTAATGCCTCTCTATTTCATCTATAATGAAACAGGTAAATCCACACACTCATCAAGTAAAACTATGCGACTTTGGAAGTGCAAAAGTATTGGTGCGTTTGATATATATTTTCTCCGTACATTTTTATTTGGATAAGTTAAATTCAAACTTGTTGATAATTGTAACTCCTGAAAACAGGTAAAAGGAGAACCAAACATCTCCTATATATGCTCAAGGTATTACAGAGCACCTGAACTTATTTTTGGAGCAACTGAGTATACGACAGCCATTGATGTCTGGTCTGCAGGATGTGTTCTTGCTGAACTCTTGCTTGGACAGGTATGCATAGTACGCTATAATCTCAGTCAAACATTTTTGTTCTATTCGAACTGTTGTGATTGACAAACTCTATCCTTTGCTTATGATAGCCATTGTTCCCGGGTGAGAGCGGTGTTGATCAACTTGTAGAGATAATCAAGGTATAATAAGCTTTGCACATGTTCACTTTGATCATAAGTTCTTGTTTTCACCATTTCTGATGGAAGATTGATGTAATGTATTTTTTGTTTTGCATTGGGGTAGGTATTGGGAACGCCTACCAGAGAAGAAATCAAGTGCATGAACCCTAACTACACAGAATTCAAATTCCCTCAGATTAAAGCTCATCCATGGCACAAGGTAATTAGTTATTATATAAATCAGAACATCATATTCACTGTCTCTTCTCTCAATAGCAGTTGAAGTCAATGTGTTGATATCTTCTCATCATATATTCACAGATTTTCCACAAACGCATGCCTCCGGAAGCTGTTGATTTGGTCTCAAGACTTCTTCAATACTCTCCTAATCTACGAAGTGCCGCGGTGAGTATTACAAGTCAACATCCTTATTGTGATTCTTTTCAGTTGTCCTTTCATTTCCCAGTTTTCGTTATCTGACATATATGCTTGAATTGTCAAATCTGGTCACAGCTTGACACTTTGGTCCACCCATTCTTTGATGAGCTAAGAGATCCAAATGCACGTCTACCAAATGGACGTTTCCTTCCACCACTTTTCAACTTCAAGCCGCACGGTATAACATCTTCCTTTCCTAATGCTTTTAAAATCCAAATTTAGATGCAAAATTATCAAAGATTTCTCCATCTAAATCCATCAGTCTAGAGTTTAAAAACATCAAGAGATCCTTGATCATTGACTGCTTAGTTTATATGTGTAACATCCTAAGACAATGGACTAAAATTTGTTCCTGTTGTTACTGTGAAACAGAGCTGAAAGGTGTACCTGTGGAGATGGTAGCTAAGTTAGTACCTGAGCATGCAAGGAAGCAGTGTCCTTGGCTCGGTTTGTGATTTTCAAAAAACCCCTAAAAATGTAGCAAGAAGGAACACAAGACTTCTATAATGTGCCTCTCTCCTCTCTCCCCTCTCTCCTCTCCCTCCTCTCCCCCCTCTCTATGTATCAATATGTCATAGTCTGATATGTATCTCTTTGTTTGTTCTTTGTTGTATGAGTAGAGAAAGAAAAGAGTTATTATTACTATAGTTGGTCTGTTGGTTTATAATGTAACAGCCCACCAAGAATTTTTTATATATGCTTTTGTATCTTTCTTCTTCCTATGTACCATACTCAAACTTAGTCTAGTTGTTTCACCGTAGCAACTTCAAGTTTCTTCAAGAAACCTCATGCCACTTCTCAGACTTGTTTAAAAGCCAAAACTTTGTGATATATTATTGATATTACTACGAGTCGTCATCGCCGTAGAAGATGCCGTCTGGGAAATATTACTGTGATTACTGCGACAAGGAGTTTCAAGACACTCAAGTCGCTAGAAAACGCCATCTTCAGAGCAAACCTCATCTCCGAGCTAAGGCTCTTTGGTACAGCTCTTCCTCAGGTCTGTCTCTCTTCTCTCTTTCTCTCTCTCTCTCTCTCTGTTTCGCTTCTCTTTCTTAACATCTCTGTTTCGTAGATCTTAATCCACAAGTCTCCAATTTTGCGACTAAGGGTCTCTGCAATAGCTTCATTACCTCGGTACGTTTTCAATCGAATTGAATCTTACGCTCTGTTCCTGATCCTTACCTTAGCAAATCTCTTGGCTATGTAAAGTCTTGTTCTTTCGTTTAATCTTACCTTAGCAATCTCTTGGATATGTAAAGTCTTGTTCTTTCGTTTAATCTCTTGTTAAATCCGAAGTTCTTACCCTAAAGTTTACATTGCCCTGTTTGTGGGTTTTGTGTTATCTTCCAAGTAAAGCCTGTTCCTGTCTTAATGGATGTTTTGCAGAACTTTTGCCCATTCGGAAACTCATGTAGATACGTTCACCCCAGCACAGGTTAGGTCAAAACCTTAAAGACATGTGGTTTGGTCTCTTTGGTGGCTTCTTAAAGCTCTAAACAAGTCTCTACTACACGCATCCTAGATTCTGTCTTGTGTTGGTTTGCTTAAAACATCATCTTTCTTATTGAATTTTTAAATGCAGGATTCACCAATAATACACAACCTCATGCTAATCAGCTTAACCAACACATCCAAGGGAGTACTTTAAACCGTACGCGTTCTTGTTATTTCTGCTATTCAACTTCTCTTCTTAGTCGTCTGAGTATATTTACTTATAGAAATTTGATGTTGGGAAGTTTATTTCTGCAAAACAGGTGATTTTGTTAGTGGGAGACTGAATACAGGTTGGTTTGATCTTCCGCCATCTCTGAGACCGCCTCCCGAGCAAGGCTATCCTCAACTTCCTTCTATAGACTGGGGATAAAGATAAATTGTGCTCAGATTCAGTATTGATGATGCTTCTATATGAAAGAAAAACTAATCTCTGCTCGTTATTCGTTAAGCTCCATAGATTTGTATCTCTTCGGATTGGAAGAATATCAACCAAGCTTCGTCTTGTTACTTATGCAGAAAGTATTTTTATAGACATTGTTTGGACATTGCAATTAAACACTTTGCGCGGTTTTGTTGATAGAAAAGTCTTTGAATTTTATTAGCTCCTCCATAGTCATTTGCTTGAGTGTCTCTGCCTTGTAAATAAAAAACCTGAAAAACACCCACAAGACTTCATTCCCTGAACCAAACTTCCTAAATATTTGATAGAGTCGGAGCAGTAAGCTCGTTAAGCTTATGGGTTATTTATCCTTGTATGTAAATTTAAACTTGGTGCAGTTGAACTATGAATGGATGTTTGTAAGTAGCATAAAATCAGAAGTAAAGTAAGCAGAAACACAGCTTTTGTTTATAAAGATTAAGATGTAATGTACTGTGATTTTCGATACATGTCCAAAGAATTTGTTGTAAACAACATTAATCCAATACATCAATTTTGAATTATTCAACTAAAAATAATTAATGATCATTTGGTTCAAAGCCAAATATTTGTAGATTGTCATTCTCATTGAACTGCAAGTTAAGTTCATGTTTTGTGATGTTAGTTGTTGCTCATGTCACGTTTTGTAACAAAAACTCCTTAACCTCTATATATGGTATGAAGTATGGTGCGAAGTAAAGTATGAAGTAAGGTATTGATGTAGAATTAAGGTATAATAAGTAGTATATAGGATTCTTGATAGGATGCTGTGATTTTACCAATGCATATGTTGTGCCTAACGCAAAACCCTTTTGGAAAAACAGCATTTTGTATTTTGGTGAATTAGCATTGCATATAACCATTAATGGTAGAGAGGATTTTAATAGGTCCATTAATACTATTAAATTTATTTTCCTTCCAATAATAGGTGGCTAATTAAGTAGTATTGCAGTTTTTTTTTGTGTAAAATGTTATATCATATATTGTAATTTTTTTTTAATGTTTTAGTAGTGTGATGTATAACCTCTTAGTTAATTAAGAAATTTTTTTGTCTAAGTGATTTCTCAATGCGTCTGTCATATTAATGAATTATTTAAGGTTTCTAATAAAGACCCACAAAATTTTAGTATATTGTATATTTCCTCAACACATCGTAGTATTAGGTATTAACACTCTCATTCGTTGTCTACAAATATGAAATTTTAATATATTTTTACTATCAAAAATATTGTAATAAATATAAGTTGTCATCTGAGAAAACAATGAATATTCTTTTTGTTTTTGATTCGGTTATGATTTTCAGTTTATGATGAAACTTTTGTGCAACATAGGTCCACATGAATTTGAAGTTCTATAAAATATGTGAATGACTGCAAATTTTGAGTCCAATGTAAAACATACTCATATATATAGTTACAAGTCTCATACATTGCTCACATTGTGTTTGTTTGAATTAATATTGTAAATTATGCAACACTATATAACTAAACTATAACAAAATAATTATATTCATTTTCTTACATAAATAATTTATTTAGCTATATGAAGCTGTCGTTCGCACATCACGCTTATAATATCACATAATTTAATGTTATATATTTTTATTTATAGAATACATTTGTACGAAACATGATTTTTTTTGCTGAAATAGAATTCAATAAGAACAAGATTAAGAATGATAAATATAATAAATAAGATAAAATTAGACTCACGAATTTTGTAGTCAACAACTTGTATATCTTGTTGTATCCTTTGACCATCAGTGTAGTGTCACCAGACGATACTATTAGCAGATCAATAAAATATCCCCAACATATCCGTTTTCACTCAATCATGGGTTTTAGTTTCAATTTCTTTTTTTAAAATAATTTGAATATATAAAAAAAACAACTCTAAAACTGTAAATTACAACATTTAACATATATATATATATAAGATGTATATATATATATAACAACATATATACTGTACATAATATATATAAATATATGTACACATATACATATAAATTGTATATAACATTTTAACACATATATATATATATACTGCTTTCCCTACATTCTCCCTACATATTTGTAGGGATTTGGCTAATGGGCCGGCCAATTGTGGCCCAATGTTGACAAAAATATATATATATATATATATATATATATTGCAATTAAACCCATAAATTTACAAACATATACTCCCTCCGTTCCAATATATAAGATGTTTTAGACTATTTTATTTGTTCATTTTATTATATATTCTCAAATTTCTATGCATCATTTTTATTAATTTAATAGTTTATGATCATTGAAAAACTGTAATATTTTTTTCTATCGGTTGAATTTTTATAAATAATCAAACAATTTTTGTTTCTTAATCTTTTTGCTTTTAACCAAAAACTCTTATATAATGGGACATAAGGAGGATATGTACCAATATATTATTTGAATAAAGAAAAAAAAATTAATATTGATTTTTGCAAATAAAACAAATTTAGTTAAACATTTGTGTAGAAATTAAAATAAATAAATAAAAACAAAAAATTGAGATTCAAAGTAGCTCAATAGACTGCTTTCCCTACATTTTCACTTTTTGCAAATATGGATTATATTTTACGATTAACACGTGATAATGAGTTTAATTTTTGTCCTTTGGTTTTATGGTATATATGGAAGGCCATGAATGATAAAGTGTTTGAAAAATTTGGATAAAAATCCACTGGAAATTGGTCGGATTGCGAACGAGGAAGCCCAGAATTGGCATGCTGCATAGGTAGAGAATATTCAGGTTCCAAGGGTAGTACTTGGGAATTTTGGGAGCGGATTTGCTGCTTCGGGTGCTTTACCTCCTGTCTCTGTAGGATATCGTTGTTTTATCGATGGTTTCTGGAAGTCTAGCTATTTGTATGCAGGTTTAGGGTGGTTTTGTTGCATGCACATGATCCGTGTCCAATGATTGGAGCCTCCAACCTCAGACGAAGTCTCTCTCCTCTTCATACGGAAGTAGAAGCCCTAGTGTGGACGATGCAATGCATGATTGGGCATAATTTCAGAGACGTGATGTTCCGAACCGACTGTTCTGACTTGGTAAGATGGTGTCTTCCCCTACCAAATAATCGGCGTTCTCAGCATATCTGGATGACATCAACATTTATAGGGAAGAATTCTCAATTTTTTTCTTTATCGTTAATTCCTAGAAATTCACATGTAAAAGCGAATTGTTTGGCACGCAAAGCTCGTTCCAACCCGCAAATGATTAAGTATGTAAACAATTGTCTTTCGAATTGGCTAATTTGAGCTGATTTTTTAGTTATTGATAAAAAAAAAACTCAATAGACAATACCAATCATGATTTTCTTTTGTAAATTAAATTAAAGAGCTGAAGGTGTTTTGAGGATATAACTTTGAATAACTTTAGACTCATTATTTAAAGCTTTGCCACGTCGATTTATTAGATAACTGAGTTGTAATGTGACCACATAGTTTTTTAGGCTTGGGTCAAAGGTTCAGAGTTACGAAGATGCATGCACCTGAGAGAGACTTATAAAGAGAATTCAACACAACGACCAAAATAATTATTCTCATCAGTTAATTATACTAACTAACCAATAAAATATCATTCGAATTATTTATAAACGTCCATCCACGAACCAATACTAATTTGCTTTATTACCCTGACTTGCTAATGTTTTTAGGGAGATTTTGAACAGACGAATCGAGCTAAGGAATTAGATGACAGCTTAGTTTTCTCAAACATACATAATCACTACATAAGAAGTTTATGTTGAAGAGATATGAATTGTGGATATAGCGAAGTTACTTCACTTCTTCCAATCTCATGAAGTTCCATGGTACCTAAACCATGATAACTTTCAAGATGATTCTTTCGCCCGAAAAGCTTGATGCCCCTGGTTTTATACAACACGAGAAAAGCAAGACGACGACGAAAACATTAGTATTATGATGATTCTAGTAACATTTCCTAATGTCTCACCAATGCTTACAAATAAGATGGTAAACCGAAACACAATTGTTTCCAAGACTATATAGATGCTCTTCAATTTTCTACTAACACCGCTACTAAGTTGATGAAAAAACAAAGAAAATAAGGTATTGGTGATCACAGAACATAGCCCGAAAACGAGAACTTGGGACAAGATAATATGTACCTTATTCAACTAGATAGAGACGTGCATCTGAACCCATCTCTTACAAGTCCGTTAATTGCGTCCCTGAGCCTATGATACTCCTCAGGTTTGTTGTAAACTTGAAAAGAAATACGCACATAACCTGTGATTGGATCAATCTCACCGTCCGCAGGTGGCCTGAAGTAAATCGGGATTTCAATGCTGAACCTTTCTCTCAAAAACTTTCTAAGCTTCAAAATATCCGAATCACTCGACACTCCTAAACAAACCGGTAACCCGACCATGATCATACTCGCACACATTTCAGGCGGACAACCGAGCTGAGTACCCCAAGACTTAACCAACATTTGACCCATCTCAACCACAGACTCATGATTCCTCTTCTTAATCCCATCAATCCCGCCTTCAAACCGATTCACAAACTCCAAAATCGAAGGAACCACCAACTGAGCACTATAATCTCTAGTACCAACCCACGAACTCTCAACCGCCAAACCGTTCCCATACTCATTCGACACAACGGGATGATGCAAATCCCTCGAACCACCGTTACTCGATCTCCTACAGTACAAGAAGGCAACGGAAGGCGGCGCGAAAAACCACTTATGAAGATTACTAGTATAGAAATCAGCACCAATCTCTTTCATATCAACATCAACACAACCAATCCCATGAGCAGCATCAACAAAAACTTGGTCAACACCTTCACTTCTACAAATCTTAACAAGCTCTTTAATTGGAATCACAACACTAGGCATAGAAGTCACATGATCAATCAAAGCTAACCTAACTCTCCTACCATTCGCCTTACCCGACTCTAAACCAATCTTAAATTTATCAATAATCTCATCCGCCGAGTTAACCGGAAACGGCAACTGTACCTCGATGACGTGTCCACCGGAGCGTGTAACGTACGCTTCAACAGATTTCTTAACGGAACCAAAAGCGTAATGAAGCATAACCACCGCGTCGCCTTTATCGAACCTTCCTTCACGGAAAGCCCAAGCGGTTTGTTGTAAAACGATCGCAGCTGCGGTTGTTGCGTTGTCGACGATCGAGACCTCGTCGTCATGCTCGGCGTTGATGAGGAGTTTGATCACAGATCTAGATTCGGAGATTTTGGGTTTGAGTTCTTCTAAAAAGAATCGATCCGGTTGACGGAGGAACTGTAGCTGCCAATCTCGTTGTCGAGCGAGGATTGACGAAGGACAACACCCGAAGCTTCCGTTGTTGATACGAGCGAAGTCTGGGTCGTGATGCGAGAACTCTGATTCGATTTCAGAGTAAGATATGTAACTCGGTGGAGAGATTTTGGGGCGTTTGACGAAATCGGAGACCGATTCGATTCCGTTAGAAGCGGTGACGGAGGAGGAAGAGGAGGAGGAGGAGTATCGTTTTGAGTGACGGTGGTGATAGGTTGCTTCTTCCGGTGGAGACAGAGACGCCATTGAAGAGAGGCCTAAGGAAGAAGGAAGAATTTGAGGAAATGAGAGCTTTCAATCATAAACAAAGAGGATAAAGACAAGTGGTGAAAGTGCGGTGCCACGACGACTCTTTGGGAACTGTAAACAAAAAACACAAAATGGTTTCTTCTGTTGTTGGAGTGGGTCACGTGACTCTCGCGTGATTGTGGAATGATTCATTCACCTACCGAGCCGACGAACTTCATTCACGTGTTAAATGGTGTTTTTTTTTTCTCGTACGGGACACTGATGAGAGACACTCTGAAACGGTTCGTTTTAACGGTCGGATTGATATTTAATAATAATGGTTATAAAGAGGGAAAACACATGAAATATTTAAGACTGTGTTATTGTGTTGTTTGACCGGAAATGTAATAGTTTCTGTTTTTGAATTTGTGGGTAAAGAACTATAAGATAGAGTTACATGAACAGTACAATATTCCCGACTAAGTGAAGCGAGCTTAGTCTTCGTCACTGTCATTGCCAAAAACAGATGCGATTGCTACTTTTGGCTTCTTGATGCTGCTTGTGGGTTGACTCTACATAGGTCAAAATATATATAAACTTGTTTAGGTCCAGGTCTAAGCACGACTATATTAGGTCCAGCGCGTAACAGGCTCAGCTGGTAAATGAACAATGTGAACTAAGGTACCTTTGATATAGTGCTGCTTTTAGAGGAAAAGCCAAACTTCAATGTTTTTCGCTGATCTTGGACAGTAAGTGGAGTAACCGTGGTCTTTGCTGGTGTAGAAACAGGGACATTCTCTGGGGATTCTTGTTGGTTCTGTTGTATCTGCTGTTGTTTACGAGCATCGGCCCTAAGATTTACAAAAGACAATCTGTGTTAAGTACAACGCATACATAATCTTTCAGAACATGTAAAGGGAAGAGAAACTAAAATAGTGTTAAAGAGTACATTTTAGTCAATTCCCTCTCTTGACGCTGCTGTTCTCGCTTCTTCCTATCATCTCGGCTACTTGCGCCGTGCATCTCTTTCATTTCTTTGAATCGCTGCATAATGAATACCAGCACTTTCTATGTTTTAGGCTTGGAAAAAACAGCATACAAGAAAGGATAAGGGGATCAGAGTTTGTGTTACCTTCTTATGGTTGTGATCATATGAGCTCAAGTGACCTTCAAACTCCATCACTGTTCTATACTGTTTGCTGCAGAGTTCACAATAGAAGACTTTACGGATTTCTTTAACGTCGCTCTGGATCTTCTGCTCACGTTCTGCTAGGACCTGGATTGTCATAATGGGGACGAAGCGGGCAGTAGAAAGCCACCAACCAGGTAATAAAAGACTGCAGTGTATTTTTTTTTCTTTCCCTTTTACAATACTACCAATCCCCTCAAAAGAGATGTATATACGCTATACACTGCTTTCTGTTCTTTTGAGTATCGAAAGTTAAAGGCATCATTTCCAAATATGTTTTGAGCGCATACCTCCCGTTTCTTTGCGATTTCCTCAGTCTCTTCAATCTCGATATCAAGTTTCTTCCGCTGGATATTTTCCTCTGCAGTGAAATAATCATCTTCCTCTTGTTTCCCTAAACCGAGTCTTCGATCCCTGATACCAGACTTTATAGGCTCCGTGATACCTTAACATATAAAAAAAACAACACAAAATGATCAAAAGATGAAACAACACCAAACCAACCAAATCCTGAATTCTTATCAAACACACACACCTTGCTCTTGCTTCCCAAGACCTTTTCCTTTCCACCCCATTTTCTGAAGAAGACGAAACCCGACATTCGAAGACGATATCTGTGTATCTAACGATGCTTGCTCCACATCCTCCAAATCAACATTTTCAGTAACCCTATGCGTAATCGGCAATCGAAACTCCTCTGCTAAACCCTCAATAAAAGATTCTTGATTCATCTATACAAATTCCAAATCACAAATAGATAAAGCAAAACACAAAAATAAGTTAAAACAAACCAGTAAATTGAGAATTTGTGAAACAGACCTGATCTTTCTCATAAATACGTTTCTCTCTACTACTTGCTTCCGTCTTACTCTCACGTCTCCTTATATCCATTCCCGCTATATCAACCTAAAACCCAATGTGACTTGTGTTAGAGCTAAAGCTAATGGATTCGTAAAACTAGGGTTTCTACATCATAGCGATTCAAATCGATACCCAATTAATCTTGTAAACAAATTGGTGATTAGGGTTTATCGAATCTCAGATCGAGACATATCTAAAGATGAAAATTGAAGAAGCTTACCTTCCGAGAGCTTCTAGAGAGAGAGATCGCGGCGCAGAGAGAGAAAGAAACAACACAAATCGACGTTGAAGATTATTTTTTTCTTCGCCGTCTTTCCTTTCTAACTGGGCCTTGAGATTGATGATTAGGCCCAACATAAACAATTTGAGAGAAGATGAATACCCAAAAAAAGGCAAAAAGCCAAAAACTATAACAAAGATACAATTGAGAAAATCATAAAAAGAAAAAAATGAGTATATCCTATACTATGTGTAAAAGTGTGACAATTAAAAAAATCATTTATTCAATTTGATTGCTCTTAAAAAGATAAAGAAAAATAAGATTTATTATTATGATTATTATTATTTTGCATGTATTTTTGCATATATGATGATAGTATAAATTATGCCGCGGAGAGAAACAAAGTCTTAAAAAATAACATTTGTAATATATTTTTCCTTTTAATTCATTATTGTATGATAATTTTTGAAAACCAAAAACAATCTAAAATACAAATTAACACTTATTTTGTTTTCTTACAAACATAATAACACGTTATGTTATTTTAATACCAATTTTCTATTAATAATCTTAAATAATTATTATAGCAATAAGAATTTTCTATTAATAATCATTTTTATAAGAAATAACATACAAAAGTACCTAGTGAAAAAAGGGAAGGGAAATGATTCTTGCACAAGTTGAGTAGTGATATTTTTTTCTAGACACTATGTTCATATTAAAATATTTATTTTTCTTATGATGTTTATTTTATAAATAAATTAAAAGGTTGAAAATTACGTTGTTCATAATATCATATGATTGGTCTTAGCAAAAAGATGAGTGACTTTTGTAATGGCTTATATATGGGGTTAGTGAGCTTAGTGGATAACTTTTACTTTGATGAAAACCTATACTCTCTTTGTAGTATGCTCTTATTTGAAATATTGCCTCTAATTAAAAACTACATATGCTATCAAATTTCATACTATTTCTATGATTTTTAATGTCTCTATATTAAATTAATCATCTTATATTATTTAATGCACATAATATTACAAAACCATTTCCTAGTATTGTTAAACATATGATTAAATTTAGGTTTTGATTGGTAACCTCGTACCGCTTTGGTATGGAGTATACCGTTTTGACAATTACCACGAAAACGGTATTACATACGTTATTAAAAACGTTATTTTCAGTTTTTTGTTTACAGCTTTTATATATCGTTTTTTATATAATCTTACCAATCAAACCTTTAATCTTTACTTTGCCTAAACTACATTGACAACAAGGTGAGCTTTTTTTATATGTTTGGTAATATGGTGAATTCTTATATATTTGAACCCAAAATTGAATAGATAGGGTTCATAACACTTCATAAGTTCATGTCCTAGTTCCAAATGGTTATGGTGTGATCCATGTCATGATAATATATAATTAAATTTCTTTATTTTCGAGAAAATCAGCCAAAAAGTGAAAAATCAATCAAGATGAACACATTCAAATCCGAAAGGAATAAAACTTTTTTCTCTCTTTCTTTTATATTCTCTGTCAAATTCGATATAATGAACTTTGTTTGGTGGTAGATTACTTATGCTTTAATTATAGCTTAAAAAAACGCAGTTTCTAGGCGAAAAGATTACTAAAGAAGATTAGTATATTTGTATGAAACAAAAAAAGTTCTACAAGATATTAGTTAATAACTTAATTGTTTGTTATATAATAATGTAGGCTTGTGAAGCCTGTTGAATATATTCCACAAACAATGGAAAACGAAAGAAGGAAGAGCTCGTTGTGGCCTATAAAAACAAATAATTTTTAGTGTTTTATTCTTCCATAGATTCCTTTTCATTTGTGCTTTTGACTGTTTCCACAAGTTTATAACTTGTGTTTTTTTTTTCCTTAATAATTGACACCTAGCTAAATTTTACTATATATAAAAAATATTTAGTTGTTCGAGTTTTTGGCATGATTTATGTGAAATTATTGTAGTCTTTGGTCTTCTAGTTAATGGGAATACTCTAATTGTGAAATTAGTATATGTGTATTTGAGTTCTTTTCGGAAGCTCTTTACAATGTGAAATGAAATTCGGTGCTTTTAGAGTTTTTTCACCATTTTTTTAATGTCTATTTTGAGTCGTGTGTCGTGTTTTAGTGTGTCTTTCGTGTCTTTCGAATTATGTTTATTCGAATTATGTTTAGAGTATTAAGCAGGAGCTAAACAGTTGGAGCGGAATTGCCGCACCAGTTTTGGGCAAGGAAGTACAACTTTAGCTAATACAGAGAATTGGACCGATCGGTCCATCACCAGACCGATCGATCCAAACAGACGACACATTCCATGAGCACAACGATCGATCAATCCCTACCTTGGATCGATTGATCCACTCGTCCAGACCTGATCAGAAGCATTAGATCGATCGATCCTCACCTTGGACCGATCGATCCATTTATCCGGACAAGACCAGGAGCAAAACGACCGATTGGTCCATCATTCAAACCGATCGGTCCATATGCATGACAACCAAATTCAGTTTACTAAATCGGATTTAATTGCTATTTTCTTCTGTAATGGGTATTAAAAACCCAAAAAGACCTATTTTTCATTTAGACCTATTTTGAATTTTAGAAAGCTTTTGGAAGCACAATCGTTGCCTCGTTTCTCACGCTTCTCTCTCTCTTGAAACTTTTTTCTAGATCTAGTTTTTCTCTTCAAGATCGATATGTGCTTCATTCAGACCTATAAGTTTCCTAAACGAGGCAACAATCGCTTCCAAAAGGTTTCTTTATTTTTGCATTTTTATTTATAAGTTTAAGATCCAAACAAAAATCATTTTCGCTTTAGTGAAAAACGAGTCTCGTAAGTCTTTAGAATATCTTTGTTTACAATTCCGCATATACTTTACTTCGGTTAAGTTATTAAGTTAAATACTCAAATAATCATGAAACATATTATAATTCACGGAAAAAAACAATTGAAATATTTAAAGTTCTCAAATGAATAAGCTTTGAAAGTTTGCTATATCAGTCAGCTACAGAATTGACATGTAGTTACTTACATATACACAGATAAAGTTTTCAATAAAAACCATTAAAAAAGCGTGACACTAATCATAGTACTTAATTATCAACATTGACTTACTAATTTCGACTAGAATCTCAAGAGTGGTAAAGAGTTTGGCACTTCGTTGAACTTTTTAGAGAGCAATATCTAGAAGCATCATTAGGATAAGAAAGCCATAAAAAAAACCAAACATATAAAACAGTACTGTATATGTTTGGACTTTTATAACAATAATACCTATCTTTATAATTCATATTATTGAAACATTACAATAATAATACACACCACCTTTTGATTGATTCGATCACAATACACACTTAATATATATAAAAATGTTTGAAGAAAGTTCAAATAAAAAAGAAACAGAGAACTTGGATGGATGCCTCTGAGGAGAGACCAAAGACTCTATAAAAGTTTGTAACACTGAACCTAATTTTGAGATTTGAGTTTTGTCTGATAAAATCTCAACAACCGTCGGATTGCAGTTTCCAAGTTTCTTCATCTTCCCCTTTAAGACGATACTCGAATCATATCTCATTACTATGATTTTCTTCTTAATTTACGTTTATTGTTTTTTTTTGTTTAAATATGTTGTTAATTATATTGTATGATTTAAACGTGGAAAAATAATTATACCAAGATAGCTCACTGATGAAATTTAGTTATTCCAAATAGTTTACTCCAGAATTAATATGAGACTACTAACAAAGAAGTTACATGCAAATATGCAACATGAATAGGGATATTGTTTTAGTTTACTAATCTCATTGAGCTAGAATAGAAGTACTATTAATAGTCGTTAAATGTAGTACTAGTGCTTTTTATTTCTATTTTGTAACCTTTTGGTGACTTCTAAAGTTAAATATTGGTTAAAAAATAATTTAAATTTCTTTATAGTTCAAATGCAAAGCAAATATATATGTGTACGTAGTAAATAGGAGTCAAATATATCTTAAAAAATAATATTGTAATTAGAACATCATACCCTATAAGCTCACAAGTTACACACATAGCATCCCAGTCGTATTATCATGTGAATTATGTACGTCAAATTCACAATGGCTCTAGAACTCTTTGGAGGATGGTTTGATCGTCGTGCTACACCAACGTTCTTGAGCTATTCTCTCTCTTATTGTGTATTTCTAGAAACAAATGGTAACAACGTCAAAGAAACCCGCACAGCCGTGGTCCAGTGGTAAAAGAGAATTGGGGAAAAGTTGGAAAAAATTAATCTAGCTTTAATCCATCCTAGAAACAAAAATTATTGTTGTGTGGGAAATCTGTCAATTGGGCCAAGGCCCAGTTGGTTTACCTTGTAGTCAAAAATATATGTTGTTTGACTACCTCTGGCATTAGTCGGAAATCATTCCAAACTCGGGATAAACAGCGAGATGGTCCTTCAAGGAGAAGTTTACTTTGAAGCACTTCGGTGTGTTTCTACCAGAATTAACCGGAACATCGATAGAATTTGTCAAAAAAAAAGCAACGTCAAAGAAAAATTATACTCAAAAGAATCTTAATTCTAGTGGTTATTGTTTCATGGAAGTTTAAAACTTAGTAATTTGTGTTTTATATTACAAATTTACAAGAGCTATTCTCTTATGAGCCACTTTGTTAACATCCTTACAAGCGACACAATACAAAAGTATGTGTGGTGGGACAAAGGTAAACGAAGTAACACTAACTAAACCAACCTTTATTTTCCGGTTTGATAACTTCTAAAAAGAACCAACCAAGATTCGAACCAAACCGGACTACCCAAAAAGCTGTATTGGCTCAGCCATCCTATAAATACATCCCCAAAACCAATCTCTCTTCACCAACACATCAAAAACAACACAACCTTACACTTCTTCTTCTTCTTCTTCTTCAATCTTAAGTGCTGTTCTACTCCTGTCTCTGATCCATCATGGGAGGTCATGGCAGAAAGAAGTTCTCACTCTTCAGCTTATTCAAAGCAAGAAGGTCGTCTCATCATAGAGTTGAAGCTGATGCATCATGGGACGACGTCGTTTACACAAGAAAAGCATGGGCTAGTGACGAGGACAAGCGTTACTGGGTGGCTGAGCCAGGTATTGACCGTAAAGCTTCTGCTTTCATCGCCAAGTTCCATGCCTCTCGTGTCTCTGAGTCCGAACGCCAAACTCTTCCTCCTTGCCAAACTCATCATAACTAGTCATCATCATCATCACCATGATGATGATGAAGATGAATGAAACAAGGCCTAGCTTAGGGCTTTATTTAGTTTGGTTTGCTTTATGTATATTTGTCTTTTTTTTCTTTTCTTATTAAGTTTATGATTATCCTTACGATGATTTGTTTATAAAATGTAGTTTTAAATCATTCTGTTGTACACATTAATATTTTAAATGAACTCCAGGCAGCTTTTAAGTTTATTACATGCAATTTTCACTAATTAAACGACATATTAGATTTATTATGATCCACAATTTGTGAATCCTTAATTAAACGACATATGATCAAGAACAACATGTGTACCATGCAGCAAACATTTATATTTACATGATTACATTGATATGATTAGTCTAGCTAGTAAAAATGATAATCTTACACTATATTGATCCATGTAATTATCTCTAGATAATTAAGTCCTTGCACTAACACAAGTCCAGAGAGTATACAATATACTTTTCGATTGGTTAAAGTCAGTTTAGCTACAATAAAACCATCATAGAAGCATGTCTTAATTTAATCTAGTAAAATTAAGGACTTTCCTAGCCAATATGTATTTTATATTTAACTTTGTTATAAAGTTATAATATTAGTAAATAGTGAGTAAGGATGATTATATATTAATTGAGATTAATTAAAAAAAAAGAACAAAGATTTTGAAGCCAGCTGTAGAATCAATAAGAACAATATGAGGATGATGTGAATTATTATGTTCCAACAACATATATTGTATAGTTTTGTACACAAAGGTACATTTCTAAGAGTACATTGATTCCCTCAACTTTTCCCTCTTCATCTCTCTCACCTTCATTTGCATTTGCATATTATGTTTTTACAACTATCCATTTTAATTTTCGTAATTTTAATAATGAGTCATTTAATGTCATTGCTAACTCTTTTTCAAATCTTTTTGGAGTAGTATATATATAATAAGACTCAATCTGAAGAAATTATTATATATATTAGCTTGATTTTTTTTAGATAATCATAACTTTTTCTGTTTTATCTCTATATAATGATCATAGTGTAATATGCAAACTCGTTAGGTTTATATCAAGAGTCCAGAAGAATTTTGAACTTTGGCTTGCTGGTCTTGTGTTTATTTTTTTCTTTTATGTTTAATCAGTAAAGAAAATAAGTCTTCACAGTCACAGTCTCTACAGCAAAAGTCTCTACAGCAAAAGTTTCTACAGCCAAAATCTCTACATTGAAAATTTTTACACTCATAATCTCTACAATCACAAGTAACAACCGTTACCAATCGGCCAATAGTAAATTGATTGTGAGTATAAAATTATTTTTTTTACTATATGAATTAGAAAGCTTACCACACAGCACCCACATGTAGATTTTAATAAAAAATGAAAAAACATCTTCTAAATTCATCGAACCAATTATTTATAATAGAAAAAGAAACAGAAATCATAATTATTATATATACAAAACAAAACATGCACACACAAACAAGTTGAATCAAAACAGTAGTTTTATATTGTCTAGTCGTGGTACATATCTTCTTGATCACCTTTTCTTGAGAGTGAAGTTAATAACATTAGCCTCAACTTCCTAATTTACTAAAAGTAACATAGGAATAATATAAAAAAGACATTGGAGCTGCAGTATCTTTTGCTGTTGAATGATTCGCTCGTAGCCAATATAATCTCTATGTTTATTGGCTTATTATTTTCATCTTTATGAATATTTTGCTTTACCTGAGGGATGATGAGAACCATCTATTTCGTTTTTTTTTTACTTTGGTCCAATATACCAACCCGGTTTGGCATGATTTGATTCCACAATTATTTTAGCCCGGTTAGATTTTTGAATATCGATTTTGGCCAATACCAATTGTAGTATACAGTTTAATAGTTATTTAGATGTAAGAGAAATGTGAACAAAATGATATATGGAAAAAATAGTCCAAAATCTATACCACCAAAGTGAAAAATTAAATGATTTACGATATTTACAACGATGCATGATTCTTCTAATGCAAAAATAAATAAATAAATAAAAATGATTCTTCTAATGCAAAGAAGTAAAGCTAAGTTTTACTCGATCTGTTTGATTATATCAGCAACTCACAATGCTAGATGATGGAAGACCACATATAAACTGAGAAGAATATTTATTTAGTAACTACAATCACATCTTAAACTTATTAACTTTTTAATTTGGGGTTGGATTCTTGTTAGTGTCCCAGTCTTAGCAAATGAAAGAGATTCACTTAAATCGGGAAAATTAATTGATAGTTCAATGAGATTGATAATACCAAAATATTCGAAATTATCGATGAAAAATATTCTATCAGTTTCATATTAAGTGTCGTTATAACAATTTTCACAATTTGATTTTGTCGGCGTTGTGTTATATATGTTTTGTATTGCGGATCTATTTATATAAATCTTTCAGACTGGTCTTGTAATTAAAAATCATATACAAAAAACTATAACTTTACGGTAACAAAAATTAAAAACAAGACACAAAACTCAGTCATTTGCTTTTCTTGTCATTTGGCTAAGTTCCCAAATTATAATCAATCAATCACATAAATTGCATTAATAGAAATTGAAGCATGTTCATGCAAACAGTAAGAAATGTTGATAACTGACTGTAGTTTGTTTAAAGTTTGGTCCTAACCTTTTTTGCTTTGGTTTGTTTAAAGTTTTTGGTCCTAACTTGAAGCTCATATGATCATGTCGACAAAATAGAGATTCATGTTTTTGTGTCTAGCTATGAATGGTTTTGAATTGTTATAGAATTGAAAGACAATCTAAGATTCACTTTTAACAAGAGTTATTCGTAATGCCTAGATTTTTTGTCTCATACATAGACAAAGTGTCAATGTCTAGAGACTCTAGTACATGATATTTAGAATATGGTGCTTAACTTTATCAATTAGTTTGTTTTTGACCCATTACAAGTATTCTTGTGCTGGATCTAATTCAAATTGGCAAATTGTTATGAGAGTGGAGCATCGATGGAACTAAGCTTTTAACACTAGTGCACTACCCAATGTTTCATCAAACGATTGATACATTGTTCATTTTCTTACGGTAGATGATAATTAAGTTACCATAATACTATTTTGTATAATTATTTTTTTTTAAAGTGATTTTTAGCGTTGTTATTTTATTAAATATTTTATAAAAAGATATATTAATATGTATTAGGTAAATATAAATATTTTTTAGCGTTAGTTTAAACGTGGCCGGAAATTGCCGCATCGATAAATGAGATACTATTAAATAAACTTGATGTCAATTCCTATATCAGAATTCGATTCTATTAAATTGCTTTATCTCGCGTAGTAGGTAGGGGTTGGTTGAAGAGCATGCCCCTGTGATCTTTTTAAGAAAGATGATGGCGGCTAGCTAGCAGATGTTAGGGGTTTTGGGGGGGTGCAGAGATGCGAACTAGGATGGGAAAAAACTTGAAAATCTTTAGCTAAACGATTATACTGACTTTCTATTTGCTTTGAATCAGATTGGAGATTCGGCATAATCGATCGACACTTACGAGACGAGTGTTTAAAATGATTATTTCAAAAACAAATAATTAAACGTCTGCCTTGTTTGAGAAATCCGTATATTGGTGATAAAAAGATATAAAAAAACAAAAGTAGAGATCTACGACTACTTTCAATGTTATAAATTAATTTCTCAAACTCTATAAGTTATATCAAACATTTATTCTATAACAGATATATAAATATATTGTACAAAAAAATCACATGTTTTGCATATAGATTAGTAACAAAACTTAAACTGCTTTAAAACTTTCACTTGATAAATTAGACGTAGTACTTCGAAATAATTTTATGAATATAAATTTTTCAAAAGACCTTACTGACTTTTTTTCTTCCTAATTATTGAATGTTATATTAAAACTTTTGCAATTTTTTTTTTGTTATTCAAATTCGAAAATAAATTTCAAAAATACATAGGTTTTCTAGATATTTTTTGAAGATTCCATAATTATTCTGTTTTAACTTTTCTTTAACGTGCTCAAGTCAATAACAACAAACCCAAACAGTAATGTAAATTCTCGATTGATGCTATCGACCATCCGTTCAAAACACATCACATTTTCAAAACCAAGACACATACATATAAGAATAGTGCTATGTCTTAAATCATGGTTTTGGTCTAAAAGATTCTTCAGTAGGGTTTATTTATGCTTAGACCTACAAGAAAACAATAGACAAAGCTATATGGTATAAGTAGGCTATAATAATTGTATATAAATTTGTTCTCTGAAGTAACAGATTCATGATTTGAAAATCAAATCAAACCTATCAATTTGGCTTTGAAACACTTTGTGTCAAAATGGACAAGACATGACCGCCTTCGTGTCTTTCTTATTACAACCAACCATCTCAAAAGCTCTCTTCCTTTATTTTTTTTTCTTATATATTTCTATTCTAACTTTTTGTCTTGTATTTTATTTCTTTTTGTGGGTATCTATATAATTTACCGTATCGTAGGAAATTAGTAAATGAATGAATATTTTTAAAGGATCGGAATAAAAAGTTCTATCACACATTGTAAAAGCAAAAAAAAAAAAAAAAAAAAAAGAAGAAGACCCAAAATCTTGGTTGAAATTGTTGTTGAAAGATTTGTATTCACGTGATCACGTCTTAATTTTAATTGTCAAAACATCTTTCAATTCGAAGATCTTTGTGAGATTGGGTAACGTGATGAATTTATTTTGGTTCATAGTTAATACATTAGCTTTTGAGAAATAAAAATAAACAGTACAAAAGTAAAAAGTGTTCGACAAACAATACACACTAAGGGGGAGTTTCAAAAATAGAAAAGCTGAATAATTGTGAGTTTTACACGTTGGACATCAATGATTCACTTTTGATGTATAGAAAATTTTATTTTGTTTATTTAATTGTGAACAAGATTTTCATGTTATAAAATTTTGTGTATTTTGAAAATGAAGTAATTTATAGTATATATAATATTAGTTCCTTAATAGATAATCTTTTTTATTATTAAATAGATGATTTTCTCATAAATTAATACAAATTTGATTACATTTATATTGGTTTTAACAATTTA